TTGATTGGCTCTGGGGGGACCTGGATGGGATCTGGTGGGACCTGGATGGGATCTGATTGGATCTGGGGGACCTGGATGGGATCTGATTGGATCTGGGGGGACCTGATTGGATGTGGTGGGATCTGATTGGATCTGGGGGGGACCTGGATGGGATCTGATTGGATCTGGTGGGACCTGATTGGATGTGGTGGGATCTGATTGGATCTGGGGGGACCTGGTGGGACCTGGATGGGATCTGATTGCATCTGGTGGGACCTGATTGGCTCTGGGGGGACCTGGATGGGATCTGGTGGGACCTGGATGGGATCTGATTGGATCTGGTGGGACCTGGGTGGGACCTGATTGGATCTGGTGGGATCTGATTGGATCTGGTGGGACCTGGTAGGATCTGATTGGATCTGGTGGGACCTGGTAGGATCTGATTGGATCTGTTGGGAACTGATGGGATCTGGTGAGACCTGATGGGATCTGATGGGACCTAATGGCCCCCAATGGCCCCCAGTGCGCCCCAATGGCACCTGATAGGACCCAGTGGGGCTCAATGGGATCTGGTGGGACCCAATGGCACCCAATGGGCCCAATGGCACCCAATGGGACTCAATGACCCCAAAGGCCCCCAATGGGACTCAATGGCACCCAATGGGCCCCAATGGGACCTGATGGGACCCGATGGGACTCAATGAACCCAATGGCCCCCAGTGCACCCCAATGGCACCGGATGGGACCCAATGGGACCTGGTGGAACCCAATGGGACTCAATGACCCCAATGGCACCCAATGGCCCCCAATGGGTCTCAATGGCACCCAATGGGACTCAATGGCACCCAATGGGACCTGATTGGACCCGACGGGACTCAATGACCCCAATGGCCCCCAATGGGTCTCAATGGCACCCAATGGGCCCCAATGGGACCTGATGGGACCCGATGGGACTCAAGGGCCCCCAATGGGACCTGATGGGACCCGACGGGACTCAATGACCCCAATGGCCCCCAATGGGTCTCAATGGCACCCAATGGGCCCCAATGGGACCTGATGGGACCCGATGGGACTCAAGGGCCCCCAATGGGACCTGATGGGACCTGATGGGACTCAAGGGCCCCCAATGGCACCGGATGGGACCCAATGGGACCTGGTGGAACCCAATGGGACTCAATGACCCCAATGGCACCCAATGGCCCCCAATGGGACCTGGTGGAACCCAATGGGACTCAATGACCCCAATGGCACCCAATGGGTCTCAATGGCACCCAATGGGACTCAATGGCACCCAATGGGCCCCAATGGGACCTGATGGGGCCCGACGGGACTCAATGACCCCAATGGCCCCCAATGGGTCTCAATGGCACCCAATGGGCCCCAATGGGATCTGATTGGACCCGATGGGACTCAAGGGCCCCCAATGGGATCTGATGGGACCCGATGGGACTCAAGGGCCCCCAATGGGACCTGATGGGACCCGATGGGACTCAAGGGCCCCAATGGGACCTGATGGGACCCGACGGGACTCAATGACCCCAATGGCCCCCAATGGGTCTCAATGGCACTGGATGGGCCCCAATGGGATCTGATGGGACCCGATGGGACTCAAGGGCCCCAATGGGACCTGATGGGACCCGACGGGACTCAATGACCCCAATGGCCCCCAATGGGTCTTAATGGCACCCAATGGGCCCCAATGGGATCTGATGGGACCCGATGGAACTCAAGGGCCCCCAATGGCCCCCAGTGGTCCCCGGCGGCGCCGGTACCTTGTCGAAGTGGTTGAAGGAGGCGCGGAACTCCTGCAGCTGCTCCTGGCTGATGCCTTTGGCGTCGCGGGTCAGGATCTGGTTCTCCAGCTCGTTGATGGTGCGGGCGATGGTGGTGAGGAGCTGCTCCCAGCCCACCCGCAGGTGCTGTGGGGCAGGGGGGGCAGCGCGGGGTGAGGGTTATGGGGTGGGGACACCATGGGGTGAATCCAGGGGACCCCACTGGGGGTATGGGATGGGGATGCCATGGGGTGAGGCCATTGGTGGTGGTGATGGGGTGGGATGGGGACACCATGGGGTGAGGCCATGGGGTCCCATTGGTGGTTATGGGGTGGGGATGGCGATGCCATGGGGTGAGGCCACAGGGCCCCATTGGGGGTTATGGGGTAGGGACATCATGGGTGAGGCCATGGGGCCCCATTGGTGGTGATGGGGTGCGGATGGGGACACCATGGGGTGAGGCTATGGGGCCATGTGGCCCATGGGTGGTAATGGGATGGGGATGGGGACACCACAGGGCCCCATGGGTGGCGACAGGATGGGGACACCATGGGTGAGGCCATGGGGCCCCATTGGTGGTGATGGGATGGAGATGGGGACAGCATGGGCCCCACGGGTGGTTATGGGATGGAGATGGGGACACCATGGGCCCCATGGGTGGTTGTGGGATGGAGATGGGGACACCATGGGCCCCACGGGTGGTTATGGGATGGGGACACCATGGGCCCCACGGGTGGTTGTGGGATGGAGATGGGGACACCATGGGCCCCCATGGGTGGTTGTGGGATGGAGATGGGGACAGCATGGGCCCCATGGGTGGTGATGGGATGGAGATGGGGACAGCATGGGCCCCACGGGTGGTTGTGGGATGGAGATGGGGACAGCATGGGCCCCACGGGTGGTTGTGGGATGGAGACGGGGACAGCATGGGCCCCACGGGTGGTTATGGGATAGGGATGGGGACACCATGGGCCCCACAGGTGGTGATGGGATGCGGACAACAAGGGCCCCACGGGTGGTTGTGGGGCGGGCCGGGGTGCTGACCTCCATGGTGTAGTTGGTGTGCCTGTTGTCGAAGATGAGAGCCTCCTGGATGAGCTGGTGCTGCTGCTCCAGCAGCTCCAGGTTGGGTTTGTAGTCCACGATGCTCTGCTCGTAGGGCTTGAGCTGCTCCAGTTGGTCCTCCAGTGTGCCGTGCATCTCGATGGAGATGCGGCCGATCTCCTGCGTGCAGAGGGCAGGGAGGGGGGGATTCCATGGTTCCATCATCATATCATCATCATCATCGTCATCACCATCATCATCACCATCATCGTCATCATCATCACCATCATCATCACCATCATCATCACCATCACCATCATCGTCATCATCATATCATCATCATTGTCATCATCACCATCGTCACCATCATCATCATCACGATCATCATCGTCATCATCACCATCGTCACCATCATCATCATCGTCATCATCATTACCATCACCATCACCATCATCATCATCACTTCCCATCCCTTATGGAGCTGGAGATCCTCCATGGCTCCATCATCATCATCATCATCCCTTATGGGCCTGGAGATCCTCCATGGCTCCATCATCATCATCCCTTATGGACATGGAGAATCTCCCTGGCTCCATCATCACCATCATCATCCCTTATGGACATGGAGAACCTCCGTGGCTCCATCATCATCATCCCTTATGGACCTGGAGAACCTCCATGGCTCCATCATCATCATCATCATCATCATCCCTTATCGACCTGGAGAACCTCCCTGGCTCCATCACCACCATCATCATCCCTTATGGAGCTGGAGATCCTCCATGGCTCCATCACCATCATCAACCCTTATGCGCCTGGAGATCCTCCATGGCTCCATCATCATCATCATCCCTTATGGACCTGGAGAACCTCCATGGCTCCATCACCATCATCAACCCTTATGGGCCTGGAGATCCTCCATGGCTCCATCATCATCATCCCTTATGGACCTGGAGAACCTCCATGGCTCCATCATCACCATCATCATCCCTTATGGACCTGGAGAACCTCCCTGGCTCCATCACCACCATCACCACTTCCAGATCTGGACCAAGGCTCCACCTGCTCCCACTTGGGGGTGCCCAGCACCATTCCAGCCCCCAGGAACCCTCCTGCCCCTCACCTCCATCTTGGTCTGGATCCAGGGCCCCACGATGTTGGCCTGCCCGGCGAACTGCCGCCGGAGGTGCTCATTGGACTCCTGCTTGCTCTGCTCCTCCAGCAGAGCCTGGTCCCGCCGGGGCACCAGCGCCTGCACCTGCGCCGGAGGAGCCCGGATACGGGAATGCCGTGGGCATGGGGGGCAATGGGGCAGGGAGGGGGGCGGTGGGGAAGGGAGGGGGACAATGGGGGCGATGGGGCCGCGGAAGGCATCAGCATGGGATGGGTGGAAGGTTCCCATGGAAGAGTTGGGATCTTGGGAAGCAATGGGCTCAATTGAGAAGGCCTCGATGAGCCTTACCCTATGGAACGGGTCTCTATGGGTGCTCCATGGATCCCAACCCAAGGGGTTCTCCATTGAGCCCAACCCAAGGGGTTCTCCATGGATCCCAACCCAAGAGGTTCTCTGTTGAGCCCAACCCAAGGGGTTCTCCATGGATCCCAACCCAATGGCTTCTCCGTTGAGCCCAACCCAAGGGGTTCTCCATGGATCCCAACCAATGGCTTCTCCGTTGAGCCCAACCCAAGGGGTTCTCCATGGATCCCAACCCAAGAGGTTCTCTGTTGAGCCCAACCCAAGGGGTTCTCCATGGATCCCAACCAATGGCTTCTCCGTTGAGCCCAACCCAAGGGGTTCTCCATGGATCCCAACCCAATGGCTTCTCCGTTGAGCCCAACCCAAGGGGTTCTCCATGGATCCCAACCAATGGCTTCTCCGTTGAGCCCAACCCAAGGGGTTCTCCATGGATCCCAACCCAATGGCTTCTCCATGGACCCCAACCCAATGGCTTCTCCATTGAGCCCAACCAATGAGTTCTCCATTGAACACAACCCAACCAAGGGGTTCTCCATGGATCCCAACCCAATGGCTTCTCCATGGACCCCAACCCAATGGCTTCTCTGTTGAGCCCAACCAACGAGTTCTCCATTGAACACAACCCAACCAAGGGGTTCTCCATGGAGCCCCCCCTGGAGAGGAAGGGCTTTGGGCTTGATGGAAGCCTCCAATGGAAGAGCTGGGATCTTGGGAAGCAATGGGCTCAATGGAGAAGGCCTGGATGAGCCTTTCCCTACGGATGGGTCTCTATGGGTCAGGACTCAACCACGGAGCTTCCCACCACGGGACGGGTGGAATCTTCCCATGGAAGAGTCGGGATCCCGGGAAGCAACGGGCCCGATGGGGAAGGCCTGGATGAAGCTGCCCTATGGAAGGGGCTGGTTCTGCCCCCCCTCACCCTCTCCCACTTGGAGTTGATGATGTGTGGGGTGACCGAGGTGTAGGGGTTGCTCCCGGCCCCCTTGATCCCATGTTGCTCCCCGATGCGCTGCGCTTCCCGTTGGATGCCCAGGATGGCCTCGCGCTCCTTGTCCGCCTCCGGCAGCGTGGCCTTGAACTGGTCGTGCGCGGCGATGAGGCCCTGCCGAGGACACCCCCAGTTCCATGGGCACGGGCTCACCCGGGGGGGGCCGTGGGGATGAGCCCGACCCCGCGCCGAGCCCTTCCCACCTGGATCTCCTCGATGGTGTGCACGATGAACATGTCCTGCAGGTCCTCCATGGCGCTCTCCATCCAGTTGTTGAAGGGCGCTGCCCGCTTGGCGTACTCCAAGTGGAGCTCGTCGATGCTCTCCAAGTGCTTCTCCGTTTGCTGCCCGGGAGCCAACGGGGGGTTAAGAGCTCCAGGCCCCATTGGGGACGTGGGGTGGGACGGGACCCACCGGCACGCATCCCGCTCACCTCCAGGGCTTCCCTCCGGCTGTGGGTCAAGGAGCCCAGCACATCCCATTGGTCGCAGATCTTCTGGCACCGCGCGTTGACGCTGGGCGAGTCGTGGTAATCCAGCTCGCTGCAGTGGGGCGGGAAGCGGGGAAAGGGGGCAGGAATAAGGTGTGTGTGTGTGTGGGGGTTCCCTATGCAATGGGGAGAAGCCCATTGCCGGGGTACCCCGGCAGCAACAAGGGCTCCGGTCACGGCCTTGGCTCGCGCTGGCCCCCTTTAGGGATGGATGGAGCCGCGCTACCCCATGGGGAAGGACAACGGGAGCGGCGGGATTGGAGCAAGGCCCCCTATGGAAGGTGTCCCTATGGGTCAGAACCCCATGGGCATCCCCGTCCCTTCCATCCCAACCCCATTCCCAGGGTTCCATGGGGCAGATGGAGCCCTCGACCACGGCATGGGGGGAAGCCTCCAATGGAAGACTTGGATGGGAGGAGGAACCTTCCTTTGGAGCACCTAAGGCCAGGTTGGAGCAATGCCCCCTATGGAAGGTGTCCCTATGGGTCAGAACCCCATGGGCACCCAGGGCCCTTCCATCCCAACCCCATTCCCATGGTTCCATGGGGCAGATGAAACCTTCCACCATGGGATGGTTGGCTCCCAATGGAAGACTCGGATGGGACACGGGGTTGATGGAGAAGGCTTGGAGGAACCTTCCTTGGGAGCACCTAAGGCCAGGCTGGAGCAATGCCCCCTATGGAAGGTGTCCCTATGGGTCAGAACCCCATGGGCACCCAGGGCCCTTCCATCCCAACCCCATTCCCATGGTTCCATGGGGCAGATGAAGCCTTCCACCATGGGATGGTTGGCTCCCAATGACAGACTCGGATGGGACACGGGGTTGATGGAGAAGGCTTGGAGGAACCTTCCTTGGGAGCACCTAAGGCCAGGCTGGAGCAATGCCCCCTATGGAAGGTGTCCCTATGGGTCAGAACCCCATGGGCATCCCCGTCCCTTGCATCCCAACCCCATTCCCAGGGTTCCATGGGGCCGTACTTGAGCTCCTGGGCGATGGCCGCGATCTGCTCCACGCGGTCCTGGTGCGCGGCCAGGTCGCTCTCGAAGGCCTCGTGCTTCCGGAGCAGGGCCTTGATGTCGGAGAGCGAGGCCGCCTCGAAGTCCTTCTGCTGCAGCAGGGCCTCCTTCCCTGCGGACACGGGGCCGTCAGCACGGAGCCCAAAGCCCTTCCCCTCCATGGAGAACCCCTTGGTTGGGTTGGCTTCAATGGAGAACCCAATGGGTTGGGTTCAATGGAGAAGCCATTGGTTGGGTTGGGATCAATGGAGAACTCATTGGTTGGGTTGGGATCAACGGAGAACCCATTGGGTTGGGATCCTTGAAGAACCCATTGGTTGGGATCAATGGAGAACTCATTGGTTGGGTTGGGATCAATGGAGAACCCGTTGGGTTGGGATCAATGGAGAACTCATTGGTTGGGCTGTGTTCAGTGGAGAACCCACTGGGTTGGGATCAATGGAGAAGCCATTGGGTTGGGATCAATGGAGAACTCCTTGGTTGAGTTGTGTTCAGTGGAGAACCCAATGGGTTCGGATCAATGGAGAACTCATTGGTTGGGTTGGGATCAATGGAGAACCCATTGGGTTGTGTTCAATGGAGAACCCATTGGGTTGTGTTCAATGGAGAACCCATTGGGTTGGGTTGGGTTCAATGGAGAACCCATTGGGTTGGGTTCAATGAAGAACCCATTGGTTGGGTTGGGATCAATGGAGAAGCCATTGGGTTGGGTTGGGATCAATGGAGAACCCATTGGTTGGGTTGGCTTCAATGGAGAACCCATTGGGTTGGGATCAATGGAGAACCCTTTGGGTTGGGTTGGCTTCAATGGAGAACCCGTTGGGTTGTGTTCAATGGAGAACCCTTTGGGTTGGGTTCAGTGGAGAACCCATTGAGTTGGGCTCCACGGAGAACCCATTGGGTTGGGTTGGGCTCCATGGAGAGGCAATGGAGGAACCACTTGAGGCAGAACTCACTGGGCTTCGAGAACCCTTCAAAGGCATCCCACGGGACCCCCCCGGCGCTGGTACCTTCGGTCCAGGCCTCGTGGATGGACGCCTTCTGCCGGAACTTCTCGGCCAGGTGGTCGAGGCGCTCGAGGCGCCGGATCTCGTTCAGGAGCCATTCCTCGTAGCCCTTCTCTGCCTGCTCCAGGCGCTGCCAGCCCGTGTTGATGTCCTGCAGCACGCAACGGGTGGGCACGCGCCCAGCGTCATCACCATCATCAATCATCGTCACCATCATCATCATCATCACCATCATCATCAATCATCGTCACCATCATCATCACCATCACCATCATCAACCATCGTCACCATCATCATCATCATCACCATCATCATCAATCATCGTCACCATCATCATCATCATCACCATCATCATCATCATCACCATCATCATCATCGTCACCATCATCATCATCATCACCATCATCAATCATCGTCACCATCATCATCATCATCACCATCATCATCAATCATCGTCACCATCATCATCACCATCACCATCATCAACCATCGTCACCATCATCATCATCATCACCATCATCAATCATCGTCACCATCATCATCATCATCACCATCATCATCATCATCACCATCATCAATCATCGTCACCATCATCATCATCATCACCATCATCATCATCATCACCATCATCAATCATCGTCACCATCATCATCATCGTCACCATCATCATCATCATCACCATCATCAATCGTCACCATCATCATCATCATCACCATCATAAATCATCGTCACCATCATCATCATCATCACCATCATCATCAATCATCGTCACCATCATCAATCGTCATCATCAATCGTCATCATCATCATCATCAATCATCATCATCACCATCATCAATCATCGTCACCATCATCATCATCATCATCAGTCATCATCAATCGTCATCATCATCAGCATCATCAATCATCATCACCATCATCAATCATCGTCACCATCATCATCATCATCATCAATCGTCCTCATCAATCGTCATCAATCATCATCATCATCATCATCACCATCATCAACCATCGTCACCATCAGCAGCAGCAGCAGCAGCATCATCATCAATCATCACCATCATCAATCATCATCAATCATCACCATCATCAATCATCATCAATCATCATCAGCAGCATCATCATCTTCAGCAGCAGCAGCAGCATCACCATCATCATCATCAATCACCACCATCAATCACTGTCACCATCATCATCAATCATTGTCATCACCATCATGATGGTCATCACCATCATGATCAATCATCATCATCATCAATCATCACCATCATCATCAATCATCATCAATCATGGTCACCATCATCATCAATCATCAATAGCATCATCAATCATCATCAATCATCGTCACCATCACCACCATCATCAATCAATGGTGGCAATGGCATCACTGCTGTGGTGTCCCCTCCTTCCCACCACCATCATCATCCCCATCACCCATTGATGCTTCTTCTTCTCCCCACCACCATCATCATCCTCCTCACCCATCGATGCTCCTCCCCATCCCCATCACCCATCGATGCTCCTTCTCCCCACCCCCATCACCCATCGATGCTTCTTCTTCTCCCCACCACCATCATCCTCCTCCTCGCCCATTGATGCTCCTCCTTCTCCCCATCCCCATCACCCATTGATGCTCCTCCTTCTCCCCATCCCCATCACCCATTGATGCTCCTCCTTCTCCCCATCCCCATCACCCATCGATGCTCCTTCTTCTCCCCACCCCCATCACCCATCGATGCTTCTTCTTCTCCCCACCATCATCATCCTCCTCCTCGCCCATTGATGCTCCTCCTTCTCCCCATCCCCATCACCCATTGATGCTCCTCCTTCTCCCCATCCCCATCACCCATTGATGCTCCTCCTTCTCCCCATCCCCATCACCCATCGATGCTCCTTCTTCTCCCCACCCCCATCACCCATCGATGCTTCTTCTTCTCCCCACCATCATCATCCTCCTCCTCGCCCATTGATGCTCCTCCTTCTCCCCATCCCCATCACCCATTGATGCTCCTCCTTCTCCCCATCCCCATCACCCATTGATGCTCCTCCTTCTCCCCATCCCCATCACCCATTGATGCTCCTTCTCCCCATCCCCATCACCCATTGATGCTCCTTCTTCTCCCCCCCATCACCCATTGATGCTCCTCCTTCTCCCGACCACCATCATCCTCCTCACCCATTGATGCACCTTCTTCTCCCTGATTCACCCATTGATGCTCCTTCTTCTCCCCATCCCATCATCATCATCCTCCTCACCCATTGATGCTCCTTCTTCTCCCCATCCCCCACCACCACCATCATCCTCCTCACCCATTGATGCTCCTTCTTCTCCCCCCTATCACCCATTGATGCTCCTCCTTCTCCCCATCCCCATCACCCATTGATGCTCCTCCTTCTCCCCATCCCCATCACCCATTGATGCTCCTCCTTCTCCCCATCCCCATCACCCATTGATGCTCCTCCTTCTCCCCATCCCCATCACCCATTGATGCTCCTCCTTCTCCCCATCCCCATCACCCATTGATGCTCCTTCTTCTCCCCATCCCCATCACCCATTGATGCTCCTTCTTCTCCCCATCCCCATCACCCATTGATGCTCCTTCTTCTCCCCATCCCCATCACCCATTGATGCTCCTTCTTCTCCCCACCATCACCCATTGATGCTCCTCCTTCTCCCCATCCCCATCACCCACTGATGCTCCTTCTTCTCCCCCCCATCACCCATTGATGCTCCTCCTTCTCCCCACCACCACCATCCTCCTCCTCACCTATCGATGCTCCCCTTCTCCCCACACCCCCCCCCTCACCCCCCCCAACGCCGGCCTCTCCATCCCTCCTCCTCCTCCTCCGTCCCGGCAGCGCGCCGGCTCACCGCCACCATGCGTCCCTCGGAGGGCATGAAGGCGGGGCGGTTGCTGAGGCGCAGCTTGGTCTGCAGGGTGTTGAAGTTGATCTCGAGCTGCACCTTCTCGTGCACCTTGGGGGGCTTGTGCACGCGGCGGTAGTGCCGGAACTCCTCCAGCTTCTGCTGCATCTCCTGCAGCGTGCGCTGCGGGCTGCGCGCCTCCAGCCACGGCAGCGTGCGCTGGATCCACTGCAGCAGCTGCAACGGCACCGCCACGGCAACGGCGGTCAACGGGGATGGAGGGGGATCGAGGGGGATCAATGGGGATCAATGGGGATCAGTGGGATGGAGGGGGATCAGTGGGGATGGAGGGGGATCAGTGGGGATGGAGGGGGATCAATGGGGATGGAGGGGGATCAATGGGGATCAATGGGGATGGAGGGGGATCAATGGGGATGGAGGGGGATCAATGGGGATGGAGGGGGATCAATGGGGATGGAGGGGGATCAATGGGGATGGAGGGGGAGAGGTGCGCTGGATCCACTGCAGCAGCTGCAACGGCACCACCACGGCAACGGCGGTCAACGGGGTCGAGGGGGATCAGTGGGGATCAATGGGGATCAGTGGGGATGGAGGGGGATCAGTGGGGATGGAGGGGGATCAGTGGGGATCAATGGGGATGGAGGGGGATCAATGGGGATGGAGGGGGATCAATGGGGATGGAGGGGGAGAGGTGCGCTGGATCCACTGCAGCAGCTGCAATGGCACCGGGTGGAAAGGGAAGGGGATGGGGTGAGGATGATGATGGGGTAAGGATGGGTTTGGGTGCGGATGGGATGGGGATGGGGATGGATGGGACGAGGATGAGGATGGGATGAGGATGGGATGAGGATGGGATGGGGATGGGATGGGGATGGGGATGGGGATGGGGATGGGATGGGGATGAGGATGGATGAGGATGGGATGGGGATGGGATGGGGATGGGGATGGGATGGGGATGAGGATGGGAAGTGAATGGGATGGGGATGGGATGAGGATGGGGATGGGATGGGGATGGGGATGGGATGGGGATGAGGATGAGGATGGGAAGTGAATGGGATGGGGATGGGATGAGGATGGGGATGGGATGGGATGGGGATGGGATGGGGATGGGGATGGGATGGGGATGAGGATGGGATGGGGATGGATGGGATGAGGATGGGGATGGGATGGGGATGGGATGGGGATGGGATGGGTGCGGACGGGTGCCGGTGCCTCACATCCGACGCCAGTTTCTCGTAGTCCTCCATGAGGAGCTCGTTCTCCTGGTTCACGGCCAGGACCTTGCAGATCCGGTTGGCGGCCGTCTCGGCCTGCCAGGAGCAGGAGGAGGAGGAGACGGGGATGAAGGCTCCTTCCCAGCTCCATCCCAGCTCCTTACCAGCTCCTTCCCAGCTCCATCCCAGCTCCTTCCCAGCTCCATCCCAGCTCCATCCCGGCCCCATCCCAGCTCCTTCCCAGCTCCATCCCAGCTCCTTCCCAGCTCCTTCCCAGCTCCTTCCCAGCTCCATCCCAGCTCCTTCCCAGCTCCTTCCCAGCTCCATCCCAGCTCCTTCCCAGCTCCTTCCCAGCTCCATCCCAGCTCCTTCCCAGCTCCTTCCCAGCTCCATCCCAGCTCCTTACCAGCTCCTTCCCAGCTCCATCCCGGCTCCATCCCAGCTCCATCCCAGCTCCTTACCAGCTCCTTCCCAGCTCCTTCCCAGCTCCATCCCAGCTCCTTACCAGCTCCTTCCCAGCTCCTTCCCAGCTCCATCCCAGCTCCTTCCCAGCTCCATCCCAGCTCCATCCCAGCTCCTTCCCAGCTCCATCCCAGCTCCTTACCAGCTCCTTCCCAGCTCCATCCCGGCTCCATCCCAGCTCCTTCCCAGCTCCATCCCAGCTCCTTCCCAGCTCCATCCCGGCTCCATCCCAGCTCCTTCCCAGCTCCATCCCAGCTCCATCCCGGCCCCATCCCAGCTCCTTCCCAGCTCCATCCCAGCTCCTTCCCAGCTCCTTCCCAGCTCCATCCCAGCTCCTTACCAGCTCCTTCCCAGCTCCATCCCGGCTCCATCCCAGCTCCATCCCAGCTCCTTACCAGCTCCTTCCCAGCTCCTTCCCAGCTCCATCCCAGCTCCTTACCAGCTCCTTCCCAGCTCCTTCCCAGCTCCATCCCAGCTCCTTCCCAGCTCCATCCCAGCTCCATCCCAGCTCCTTCCCAGCTCCATCCCAGCTCCTTACCAGCTCCTTCCCAGCTCCATCCCGGCTCCATCCCAGCTCCTTCCCAGCTCCATCCCAGCTCCTTCCCAGCTCCATCCCGGCTCCATCCCAGCTCCTTCCCAGCTCCATCCCAGCTCCTTCCCAGCTCCATCCCATCCCCATCCCATCCCCATCCCATCCCCATCCCGGCTCCATCCCAGCCCCATCCCAGCTCCTTCCCATCCCCATCCCATCCCCATCCCGGCTCCATCCCATCCCCATCCCAGCTCCTTCCCATCCCCATCCCAGCTCCATCCCGGCTCCATCCCAGCCCCATCCCAGCTCCTTCCCATCCCCATCCCATCCCCATCCCGGCCCCATCCCTGCCCCATCCCAGCCCCATCCCAACTCAAACCCAGTTCAAACCCAGCTCAAACCCAGTTTAAACCCAGCTCCATCCCAGTTCAAACCCAGTTCAAACCAGTTCAAACCCAGTTAAACCCAGTTCAAACCCAGCTCCATCCCAGTTCAAACCCAGTTCAAACCCAGTTCAAACCCAGCTCCATCCCAGTTCAAACCCAGTTCAAACCAGTTCAAACCCAGTCAAACCCAGTTCAAACCAGTTCAAACCCAGTCAAACCCAGTTCATCCCCGCTCACCTTCTGCGCCCCCGAGAAGGCGTGGTAGAAGCAGGACACGTAGGTCATGATGGCCTTCTCGTCCGGCCGCAGCGTGCCCACGATGTCTGTGGGGAGAGGGAGCAGTGGGGTGAGCCCCACAGCGACCCACAGCAATGGGGCTGAGCCCCACAGCGACCCACAGCAACGGGGCTGAGCCCCACAGCGACCCACAGCAACGGGGCTGAGCCCCACAGAGAGAGAGAGCAATGGGGCTGAGCCCCACAGGGACTGCAGCTCTTCCATGGTGGCCAATGGGGCCACCTCCATGGTTGGACCTCCTTGGGTTGAGGTCTTCTTGAAGACCTCCATGGCCAAGAGTTGGCCACCAAGGTGGCTCTTCCATTGCTCCACCTCTATGGTCGGACCTCCTTGGGTTGAGGTCTTCTTGAAGACCTCCATAGCCAAGAGTTGGCCACCAAGGTGGCTCTTCCATTGCTCCACCTCCATGGTTGGACCTCCTTGGTTGAGGTCCTCCCAAAGACCTCAATGGCCAAGAGGTGGCCACCGCGGCGGCCCTTCCATGGTGGCCAATGGGGCCACCTCCATGGTTGGACCTCCTTGGGTTGAGGTCCTCTTGAAGCCCCCCATGGCCAAGAGTTGGCCACCAAGGTGGCTCTTCCATGGTGGCCAATGGGGTCACCTCCAAGCTTGGAGTCCTTAAGACCTCTATGGCCAAGAGTTGGCCACCAAGGTGGCTCTTCCATGGTGGCCAATGGGGCCACCTCCATGACCCCATGTCAATGGTTGGACCTCCTTGGTTGAGGTCCTCCCGAAGCCCCCCATGGCCAAGACTTGGCCAACGCGGCGGCCCTTCCATGGTGGCCAATGGGGCCACCTCCATGACCCCACCTCCATGGTTCGACCTCCTTGGTTGAGGTCCTCTTGAAGCCCCCCATGGCCAAGAGGTGGCCACTGTGGCAGCCCTTCCATGGTGGCCAATGGGGCCACCTCTATGACCCCATGTCAATGGCTGGACCTCCTTGGTTGAGGTCCTCCCAAAGCCCCCCATGGCCAAGACTTGGCCAACGCGGCGGCCCTTCCATGATGGCCAATGGGGCCACCTCCATGACCCCATGTCAATGGCTGGACCTCCTTGGTTGAGGTCCTCCCGAAGCTCCCCATGGCCAAGACTTGGCCAACGCGGCGGCCCTTCCATGGTGGCCAATGGGGCCACCTCCATGACCCCACCTCCATGGTTCGACCTCCTTGGTTGAGGTCCTCTTGAAGCCCCCCATGGCCAAGCGCTGGCCACTGTGGCAGCCTTTCCATGGTGGCCAATGGGGCCACCTCCATGGTTGGACCTCCTTGGGTTGAGGTCTTCTTGAAGTCCCCCATGGCCAAGACTTGGCCACCAAGGTGGCTCTTCCATGGTGGCCAATGGGGCCACGTCCATGGTTGGACCTCCTTGGTTGAGGTCCTCCTGAAGCCCCCCATGGCCAAGACTTGGCCAACGCGGCGGCTCTTCCATGGTGGCCAATGGGGCCACGTCCATGACCCCACCTCCATGGTTGGACCTCCTTGGTTGAGGTCTTCTTGAAGACCTCCATGGCCAAGAGGTGGCCACTGTGGCAGCCCTTCCATGGTGGCCAATGGGGCCACCTCCATGACCCCATGTCAATGGCTGGACCTCCTTGGTTGAGGTCCTCCCGAAGCCCCCCATGGCCAAGACTTGGCCAACGCGGCGGCCCTTCCATGGTGGCCAATGGGGCCACCTCCATGACCCCATGTCAATGGTTGGACCTCCTTGGTTGAGGTCCTCCCGAAGCCCCCCATGGCCAAGCGCTGGCCGCTCACCCTCGGCGTCGAGCATCTTGGGGATGTCCAGGTACTTCTCGGCCACCTCGAAGGCGTTGTTGAGGTTGGTGACGGGGTCGTCCTGGGGAGGGCAGGGCCGTCGGGAAGCGCCGGGAGCGGCGTTCCCGGTGTGTGGGGGGTGTCGGCATTCCCAATGGTTGGGGGGGTGTTGGCATTCCCAATGGAGGGGTGTCAGCATTCCCAATGGTTGGGGGGGTGTTGGCATTCCCAATGGAGGGGTGTCAGCATTCCCAATGGTTGGGGGGGTGTTGGCATTCCCAATGGAGGGGTGTCAGCATTCCCAATGGTTGGGGGGGGTGTTGGCATTCCCAATGGAGGGGTGTCGGCATTCCCAATGGTTGGGGGGGGTGTTGGCATTCCCAAGGGGCGGGGATGTTGACATTCCCAATTGGGGGGGATGTTGGCATTCCCAATGGGGGGTGGGACGTTGGCATTCCCAATGGAGGGGTGTCAGCATTCCCAATGGGGGGGGATGTTGGCATTCCCAATGGTTGGGGTCGACATTCCCAATGGGGGGTGGGGATGTGACATTCCCAATGGTTGGGGTCGACATTCCCAATGTGGGGATGTGACATTCCCAATGGTTGGGGTCGACATTCCCAATGGGGGGGGGGATGTGACATTCCCAATGGTTGGGGTCGACATTCCCAATGGTTGGGGTCGACATTCCCAATGTGGGGATGTGACATTCCCAATGGTTGGGGTCGACATTCCCAATGTGGGGATGTGACATTCCCAATGGTTGGGGTCGACATTCCCAATGGTTGGGGTCGACATTCCCAATGTGGGGATGTGACATTCCCAATGGTTGGGGTCGACATTCCCAATGGTTGGGGTCGACATTCCCAATGGGGGTGGGGATGTGACATTCCCAATGGGGGGATGTGACATTCCCAATGGTTGGGGTCGACATTCCCAATGTGGGGATGTGACATTCCCAATGGTTGGGGTCGACATTCCCAATGGGGGGATGTGACATTCCCAATGGTTGGGGTTGACATTCCCAATGGTTGGGGTCGACATTCCCAATGGGGGGATGTGACATTCCCAATGGTTGGGGTCGACATTCCCAATGGTTGGGGTCGACATTCCCAATGGGGGGATGTGACATTCCCAATGGTTGGGGTCGACATTCCCAATGTGGGGATGTGACATTCCCAATGGTTGGGGTCGACATTCCCAATGTGGGGATGTGACATTCCCACCTTGCGGAGCTTGTCGTACTCGATGAGCTCCGGGCGGTGCCGGTGGATGAGCGCGTTGAAGGCCAGCCCGTCCTTCCAGCTGCGGCCCCATGGAACGGGGGGCGGCAATGGGGCAGGTTGGGGGGAACGGGGCCTGGGGGAGGACCCTGCCCGGCCACCCCCTTCCATGGATCCCATGGATCCCACCCATCCCCTTCCATGGATCCCATCCATCCCCTTCCATGGATCCCATGGATCCCACCCATCCCCTTCCATGGATCCCACCCATCCCCTTCCATGGATCCCATGGATCCCACCCATCCCCTTCCATGGATCCCACCCATCCCCTTCCATGGATCCCATGGATCCCACCCATCCCCTTCCATGGATCGCACCCATCCCCTTCCATGGATCCCATGGATCCCACCCATCCCCTTCCATGGATCCCACCCATCCCCTTCCATGGATCCCATGGATCCCACCCATCCCCTTCCATGGATCCCACCCATCCCCTTCCATGGATCCCACCCACCCCCTTCCATGGATCCCATGGATCCCACCCATCCCCTTCCATGGATCCCACACATCCCCTTCCATGGATCCCACCCACCCCCTTCCATGGATCCCATGGATCCCACCCATCCCCTTCCATGGATCCCACCCATCCCCTTCCATGGATCCCACCCATCCCCTTCCATGGATCCCACCCACCCCCTTCCATGGATCCCATGGATCCCACCCATCCCCTTCCATGGATCCCACCCATCCCCTTCCATGGATCCCACCCATCCCCTTCCATGGATCCCACCCATCCCCTTCCATGGATCCCATGGATCCCACCCATCCCCTTCCATGGATCCCATGGATCCCACCCATCCCCTTCCATGGATCCCACCCATCCCCTTCCATGGATCCCACCCACCCCCTTCCATGGATCCCAGCTCCCTTTCCCCCCCATTCCCAGTTACCCCAGCACCCCCCCATTCCCAGTTATCCCAGTACCACCCCCCCCATTCCCAGTTATCCCAGCACCCCCCCATTCCCAGTTATCCCAGTACCACCCCCCCCATTCCCAGTTACCCCAGTACCCCCCCATTCCCAGTTATCCCAGTACCCCCCCATTCCCAGTTATCCCAGTACCCCCCCATTCCCAGTTATCCCAGTACCACCCCCCCCATTCCCAGTTATCCCAGCACCCCCCCATTCCCAGTTATCCCAGTACCCCCCCATTCCCGGTTATCCCAGTACCACCCCCCCCATTCCCGGTTATCCCAGTACCACTCCCCCCATTCCCAGTTATCCCAGTACCACTCCCCCCATTCCCGGTTATCCCAGTACCTGATATGGAAGTTCTGGACGTTGACGTTTTTATACGGAGCCGTCTTCCGCTGGCACCAGAGCAGCAGCCCCTCCTTGGCCGAGGTCTCTGCAAGGGGCATCCCATGATCCCCCCCCCGATCCCATTGGATCCCATTGGATCCCCCCCCCCCCCGGCTCCCATTGGATCCCATTGGACCCCCCCCATCCCACTGGATTCCCCCCCCCATCCCATCCCACTGGATCCCATTGGATCCCCCCATCCCATCCCATTGGATCCCCCCCATCCCATTGGATCCCATTGGACACCCCCCCCCATCCCATTGGATCCCATTGGATCCCCCCTGATCCCATTGGACCCCCCCCATCCCACTGGATTCCCCCCCCATCCCATCCCACTGGATCCCATTGGATCCCCCCATCCCATCCCATTGGATCCCCCCCATCCCATTGGATCCCATTGGACACCCCCCCCATCCCATTGGACCCCCCCCATCCCACTGGATTCCCCCCCCATCCCATCCCACTGGATCCCATTGGATCCCCCCATCCCGTCCCAGTGGATGCCCCCCCCATCCCATTGGATCCTCCCCCCGATCCCATTGGATCCCATTGGATCCTCCCCCCCCATCCCATTGGATCCCACTGGATCCCCATCCCCCCCATCCCCCCGATCCCATTGGACACCCCCCATCCCATTGGATCCCATTGGACACCCCCCATCCCACTGGATCCCAGTGGATCCCCCCCCCCCCCATCCCAGTGGATCCTCCCCCCCATCCCATTGGATCCCCCCCCCCCCATCCCATTGGATCCCACTGGATCCCCCCATCCCATCCCAGTGGATGCCCCCCCCATTCCATTGGATCCTCCCCCCGATCCCATTGGATCGCCACCCTCCACGGAGATGTCCTGGATGGCGAAGCGGAGGATGATGGTCCAGATCATCCCCAGCGTCATCTTGGCGTTGCCGTCGACGATCTCTGCGGGAGGGAGCAGCCGTGGGGCAGAGCCCGTGGGGCAGAGCCCGTGGGGCAGAGCCAGGGGGGCAGAGCCCATGGGGCAGAGCCCGTGGGGCAGAGCCCGTGGGGCAGAGCCCATGGGGCAGGAACCCATGGGGCAGGAGCCCGTGGGGCAGAGCCCATGGGGCAGAGCCCGTGGGGCAGAGCCCATGGGGCAGGAGCCCATGGGGCAGGAGCCCGTGGGGCAGAGCCAGGGGGGCAGAGCCAGGGGGAGAAGGGGCTGGAAGGGCTCCGAGCAGCTCCGGAGGGGCTTTGGGAATGGGATCCAATGGGATGGGGAGGAAGGGATCCGATGGGATGGGGAGGAAGGGATCCAATGGGATGGGGAGGAAGGGATCCGATGGGATGGGAGGAAGGGATCCAATGGGATGGGGAGGAAGGGATCCGATGGGATGGGGAGGAAGGGATCCGATGGGATGGGAGGAAGGGATCCAATGGGATGGGAGGAAGGGATCCGATGGGATGGGGAGGAAGGGATCCGATGGGATGGGAGGAAGGGATCCAATGGGATGGGAGGAAGGGATCCGATGGGATGGGGAGGAAGGGATCCGATGGGATGGGGAGGAAGGGATCCGATGGGATGGGGAGGAAGGGATCCAATGGGATGGGGAGGAAGGGATCCAATGGGATGGGGAGGAAGGGATCCAATGGGATGGGAGGAAGGGATCCAATGGGATGGGGAGGAAGGGATCCAATGGGATGGGAGGAAGGGATCCAATGGGATGGGGAGGAAGGGATCCAATGGGATGGGGAGGAAGGGATCCAATGGGATGGGGAGGAAGGGATCCAATGGGATGGGAGGAAGGGATCCAATGGGATGGGGAGGAAGGGATCCAATGGGATGGGAGGAAGGGATCCAATGGGATGGGGAGGAAGGGATCCAATGGGATGGGGAGGAAGGGATCCAATGGGATGGGGAGGAAGGGATCCAATGGGATGGGAGGAAGGGATCCAATGGGATGGGGAGGAAGGGATCCGATGGGATGGGGAGGAAGGGATCCGATGGGATGGGGAGGAAGGGATCCAATGGGATGGGGCTGGGGGGATCCCATGGGATGGGGAGGAAGGGATGCAATGGGATGGGGCAGGGATCCAATGGGATGAGGAGGAAGGGATCCGATGGGATGGGGAAGGGATCTGATGGGATGAGGAAGAAGGGATCCCATGGGATGGGGAGGAAGGGATCCAATGGGATGGGGCTGGGGGGATCCATGCAGGAGGCCGATGGGAGGGGGGGGCACTCAATGGGAATGCCATGGGAATGCTGCAGGAGATGGGGGGGGGGAGGACGCCAGAGCCCCCACATCCCATGGGAATTCCTGGAGCCTGGGGGATCCCAAGGGAGCCAGGTTGGGAAGGGATCAGATCTGGGGGGGGGGGCAACGGCTCCACTGGGATCGTGGGGGGGGACTGCCCCCTCTATGGGGTGGGGTGGGCCCTATGGGGTGGGATGGGGCCCATGGGGTGGGATGGGCCCTATGGGGTGGGATGGGGCCCCATGGGGTGGGATGGACCCTATGGGATGGGTTGGACCCTATGGGGTGGGATGGGGCCCATGGGGTGGGATGGGGCCTATGGGGTGGGATGGGATGGGCCCTATGGGATGGGGCCTATGGGATGGGTTGGACCCCATGGGGTGGGATGGGCCCTATGGGGCAGGATGGGCCCTATGGGGTGGGATGGACCCTATGGGGTGGGATGGACCCTATGGGGCGGGATGGACCCTATAGGGTGGGATGGACCCTATGGGGCGGGATGGACCCTATGGGGTGGGATGGACCCTATGGGGCGGGATGGACCCTATGGGGTGGGATGGACCCTATGGGGCGGGATGGACCCTATGGGGTGGGATGGACCCTATGGGGCGGGATGGGCCCTATGGGGCGGGATGGACCCTATGGGGTGGGATGGACCCTATGGGGTGGGATGGGCCCTATGGGGCGGGATGGACCCTATGGGGTGGGATGGACCCTATGGGGTGGGATGGACCCTATGGGGCGGGATGGGCCCTATGGGGTGGGATGGGCCCTATGGGGCGGGATGGACCCTATGGGGTGGGATGGACCCTATGGGGCGGGATGGGCCCTATGGGGTGGGATGGGCCCCATGGAGGCTGGAGCTGGGCAAGGTCCAGGGCCCTCCCCATGAGTCACTGTGGGTGCGCCCTGAGTCAGCGTTGACATTGGGCACCTTCCAAGCAGCACCCATGGGTGGGGGGGGCACGCATGGCTGGAGGTAGCACCCATGGGTGGGGATACCCATAGGTGTGGGGGCACCCATGGGTGGGGATACCCATAAGTGGGGGGGCACCCATGGGCGGGGGGGGGGGGGGCACCCATGGGTGGGGTGGGGGGGCACCCATAGGTGGGGGGGCACCTAAGTGTGTGCGTGTGGGGCACCCATGGCTGTGGGGGGCACCCAGGTGTGTGTGTGGTGGGGGCACCCATAGGTGGGGGGGCACCTAAGTGGGTGCGTGTGGGGCCCCCATGGGTGTGGGGCGCACCCATGGGTGGGGTGTGTGGGGCACCCGTGTGTGTTGTGGGGCACCCATGTGTGGGGTGTGGTATGGGGCAGCCATGTGCGTGTGCTGTGGGGCAGCCATGCGTGGGGTGTGGTGTGGGGCAGCCATGTGTGTGTGTGGGGGGGGTGCCCATGTGTGGGGTGCGGTGTGGGGCAGCCATGTGTGTGTGGGGGGGGTGCCCATGTGTGGGGCGCGGTGTGGGGCAGCCATGTCTGTTTGTGGGGTGCGGTGTGGGGTGGCGTGGGGCAGGCATGTGTGTGTGTGTGTTGCGGTGTGGGGCAGCCATATGTGTGTGGGGTTTGGCGTGGGGCAGGCATGTGTGGGGCTCAGCGTGGGGCTCGGCATGGGGCAGGCATGTGTGGGGTGGTGTGGGGCGGCATGGGGCAGGCACGTGTGGGGCTTGGTGTGGGGCTCGGTGTGGGGCGGTGTGGGGCAGGCACATGTGGGGCGGTGTGGGGCTTGGTGTGGGGCAGGCACACGTGGGGCTTGGTGTGGGGCAGGCATGTGTGGGGCTTGGTGTGGGGCGGTGTGGGGCAGGCATGTGTGGGGCTTGGTGTGGGGTGGTGTGGGGCAGGCACATGTGGGGCTCGGTGTGGGGTGGTGTGGGGCTTGGTGTGGGGCGGCGTGGGGCAGGCACGTGTGGGGCTCGGTGTGGGGTGGTGTGGGGCTCGGTGTGGGGCTCAGTGTGGGGCAGGCACATGTGGGTCTCGGTGTGGGTCTTGGTGTGGGGCTCGGTGTGGGGCAGGCACATGTGGGGCTCGGTGCGGGGCTCGGTGTGGGGCTCGGTGTGGGGCAGGCACACGTGGGGCTCGGTGTGGGGCAGGCACATGTGGGGCTCGGTGTGGGGCTCGGTGTGGGTCTCGGTGTGGGGCTCAATGTGGGTCTCGGTGTGGGTCTCGGTGTGGGTCTCGGTGTGGGGCTCGGTGTGGGGCAGGCACACGTGGGGCTCGGTGTGGGGCAGGCACATGTGGGGCTCGGTGTGGGGCTCGGTGTGGGTCTCGGTGTGGGGCTCAATGTGGGTCTCGGTGTGGGTCTCGGTGTGGGTCTCGGTGTGGGGCTCGGTGTGGGGCTCGGTGTGGGGCAGGCACACATGGGTCTCGGTGTGGGTCTCGGTGTGGGGCTCAATGTGGGTCTCGGTGTGGGTCTCGGTGTGGGTCTTGGTGTGGGGCAGGCACACATGGGTCTCGGTGTGGGTCTCGGTGTGGGGCGGCGTGGGGCAGGCACGTGTGGGGCTCGGTGTGGGGCGGTGTGGGGCAGGCACGTGTGGGGCTCGGTGTGGGGCTCAGTGTGGGTCTCGGTGTGGGTCTCGGTGTGGGTCTCGGTGTGGGGCGGCGTGGGGCAGGCACACATGGGTCTCGGTGTGGGTCTCGGTGTGGGTCTCGGTGTGGGTCTCGGTGTGGGTCTCGGTGTGGGTCTCGGTGTGGGGCGGTGTGGGGCAGGCACATGTGGGGCGGTGTGGGGCTTGGTGTGGGGCAGGCACGTGTGGGGCTCGGTGTGGGGCAGGCACGTGTGGGGCGGTGTGGGGCAGGCACCTTCTGCGCCGATGGAGACGAGCTTGACGGCCTTGCTGGCGATGAAGTCCAGCGCCTTGTTGACGTTGTTGATGCGGTGAACCCGCATCTTCCCCCGCTCCGGCTTGGGCAGGCGCTCGCCTGAGGGGGGAGGGAGGCTGGGAACGGGGGGAGGGGGTGGGGTGGGGTTGGGAATGGGGATGAGCAGTGGGGATGTGGGGGTGGGGTGGGGTCAGGACGCAGGGATGGGGATGCAGGGATGGGGATGTGGGGCTGGGGTGGGGATGTGGGGGTGGGGTGGGGACACAGGGATGGGGATGTGGGTCCGGGATGGGGATGTGGGTCCGGGATGGGGATGTGGGTCCGGGATGGGGATGCAGGGATGGGGTCGGGATGTGGGTCCAGGATGGGGATGTGGGTCCGGGATGGGGATGTGGGTCCGGGATGGGGATGTGGGTCCGGGATGGGGATGTGGGTCCAGGATGGGGATGTGGGTCCGGGATGAGGATGTGGGTCCGGGATGGGGATGTGGGTCCGGGATGGGGATGTGGGTCCGGGATGGGGATGTGGGTCCGGGATGGGGATGTGGGTCCGGGATGGGGATGTGGGTCCGGGATGGGGATGTGGGTCCGGGATGAGGATGTGGGTCCGGGATGGGGATGTGGGTCCGGGATGGGGATGTGGGTCCGGGATGGGGATGTGGGTCCGGGATGGGGATGTGGGTCCGGGATGGGGATGTGGGTCCAGGATGGGGATGTGGGTCCGGGATGGGGATGTGGGTCCGGGATGGGGATGCAGGGATGGGGTCGGGATGTGGGTCCGGGATGGGGATGTGGGTCCGGGATGGGGATGTGGGTCCGGGATGGGGATGTGGGTCCAGGATGGGGATGTGGGTCCGGGATGGGGATGTGGGTCCAGGGTCAGGATGTGGGTCCGGGATGGGGATGTGGGTCCGGGATGGGGATGTGGGTCCAGGATGGGGATGTGGGTCCGGGATGAGGATGTGGGTCCGGGATGAGGATGTGGGTCCAGGGTCAGGATGTGGGTCCAGGATGGGGCTGGGGTCAGGATGTGGGTCCGGGATGGGGCTGAGGTGGGGCTGGGGTCAGGATGTGGGTCTGGGGTCAGGATGTGGGTCCAGGGTCAGGATGTGGGGCCAGGGTCAGGATGTGGGTCCGGGGTCAGGATGTGGGTCCGGGATGGGTGCGGGGTGGGGCTGTGGGGCTGGGGTCAGGATGTGGGTCCGGGGTGGGTCCGGGATGGGGCTGTGGGTCCGGGGTCAGGATGTGGGTCTGGGATGGGGCTGGGGTCAGGATGTGGGTCCGGGGTCAGGATGTGGGTCCAGGATGGGGCTGAGGTTGGGCTGTGGGTCCGGGGTGGGTCCAGGCTGGGGCTGTGGGTCCGGGGCGGGGCTGTGGGTCCGGGGTGGGGCTGTGGGTCCGGGGCGGGGCTGTGGGTCCGGGGCGGGGCTGTGGGGCCGGGGTGGGTCCGGGGTGGGGCTGTGGGTCCGGGGCGGGGCTGTGGGTCCGGGGCGGGGCTGTGGGTCCGGGGCGGGGCTGTGGGTCCGGGGTGGGGCTGTGGGTCCGGGGCGGGGCTGTGGGTCCGGGGCGGGGCTGTGGGGCTGGGTTCAGGATGTGGGTCTGGGATGGGTCCGGGGCGGGGCTGTGGGTCCGGCGCGGCGCTGACCCGAGATGACCTCCAGCAGCAGCATCAGCTTGAGCCCGTCCCGGAAGTCCTCGTCGATGTTCTCGATGTGGGTCCCGGCTTTCCGAAGGTGGGAATTGCACCAGGCCGTGAAGGTCTGCGGAGCCACCCGGAGCCATTGGATCCAACCGGAGCCCATTGGGATCCAACCGGAGCCATTGGATCCAACCGGAGCCCATTGGGATCCAACCGGAGCCCATTGGGATCCAACCGGAGCCACCCGGAGCCATTGGATCCAACCGGAGCCCATTGGGATCCAACCGGAGCCATTGGATCCAACCGGAGCCCATTGGGATCCAACCGGAGCCATTGGATCCAACCAGAGCCCATTGGGATCCATCGGGATCCAACCGGAGCCATCGGGATCCAACCGGAGCCACCCGGAGCCATTGGATCCAACCGGAGCCATTGGATCCAACCGGAGCCCATTGGGATCCACCCAGAGCCCATCGGGATCCATCGGGATCCACCCGGAGCCATTGGATCCAACCGGAGCCATTGGGATCCAACCGGAGCCATTGGATCCAACCGGAGCCCATTGGATCCAACCGGAGCCCATTGGGATCCAACCGGAGCCATCGGGATCCAACCGGAGCCCATTGGGATCCATCGGGATCCAACCGGAGCCATCGGGATCCAACCGGAGCCCATTGGGATCCATCGGGATCCAACCGGAGCCAATGGATCCATCCGGAGCCCATTGGATCCAACCGGAGCCATCGGGATCCAACCGGAGCCCATTGGGATCCAACCAGAGCCACCCGGAGCCAATGGATCCAACCGGAGCCCATTGGGATCCAACCGGAGCCCATTGGGATCCAACCGGAGCCATCGGGATCCAACCGGAGCCACCCGGAGCCATTGGATCCAACCGGAGCCCATTGGGATCCAACCGGAGCCACCCGGAGCCATTGGATCCAACCGGAGCCCATTGGATCCAACCGGAGCCATTGGATCCACCCGGAGCCATTGGAGCCCATTGGGATCCAACCGGAGCCATTGGATCCAACCGGAGCCATCGGGATCCAACCGGAGCCCATTGGGATCCAACCGGAGCCACCCGGAGCCATTGGATCCAACCGGAGCCCATTGGATCCAACCGGAGCCATTGGATCCAACCGGAGCCATTGGATCCACCCGGAGCCATTGGAGCCCATTGGGATCCAACCGGAGCCACCCGGAGCCATTGGATCCAACCGGAGCCCATTGGATCCAACCGGAGCCATTGGATCCAACCGGAGCCCATTGGGATCCAACCGGAGCCCATTGGATCCAACCGGAGCCCATTGGGATCCAACCGGAGCCATTGGATCCAACCGGAGCCACCCGGAGCCAATGGATCCAACCGGAGCCATCGGGATCCAACCGGAGCCACCCGGAGCCAATGGATCCAACCGGAGCCCATTGGATCCAACCGGAGCCATTGGGATCCAACCGGAGCCCATTGGGATCCAACCGGAGCCACCCGGAGCCATTGGATCCAACCGGAGCCATCGGGATCCAACCGGAGCCCATTGGGATCCAACCGGAGCCATTGGATCCAACCGGAGCCCATTGGGATCCAACCGGAGCCCATTGGGATCCATCGGGATCCAACCGGAGCCATCGGGATCCAACCGGAGCCATTGGATCCAACCGGAGCCCATTGGGATCCAACCGGAGCCCATTGGGATCCATCGGGATCCAACCGGAGCCATCGGGATCCAACCGGAGCCCATTGGATCCAACCGGAGCCCATTGGGATCCAACCGGAGCCACCTGGAGCCAATGGATCCATCCGGAGCCCATTGGATCCAACCGGAGCCATCGGGATCCAACCGGAGCCACCCGGAGCCCATTGGATCCAACCGGAGCCCATTGGGATCCAACCGGAGCCCATTGGGATCCATCGGGATCCAACCGGAGCCATCGGGATCCAACCGGAGCCCATTGGATCCAACCGGAGCCCATTGGGATCCAACCGGAGCCACCCGGAGCCAATGGATCCATCCGGAGCCCATTGGATCCAACCGGAGCCATCGGGATCCAACCGGAGCCCATTGGGATCCAACCGGAGCCATCGGGATCCACCCAGAGCCCATCGGGATCCAACCGGAGCCACCCGGAGCCAATGGATCCAACCGGAGCCATCGGGATCCAACCGGAGCCCATTGGGATCCAACCGGAGCCACCCGGAGCCAATGGATCCAACCGGAGCCCATTGGATCCAACCGGAGCCATTGGGATCCAACCGGAGCCCATTGGGATCCAACCGGAGCCACCCGGAGCCAATGGATCCAACCGGAGCCATCGGGATCCAACCGGAGCCCATTGGGATCCAACCGGAGCCATCAGGATCCATTGGGATCCAACCGGAGCCCATCGGGATCCATCGGGATCCAACCAGAGCCCTTTGGGATCCATTGGGATCCGCCCAGAGCCACCCGGATCCATCGGGATCCACCCGGATCCACCCAGAGCCCATTGGGATCCACCCGGAGCCCATTGGGATCCATTGGGATCCATCGGGAACCATCTGGAGCCCATCAGGATCCACCTGGAGCCCATCGGGATCCATTGGGATCCACCTGGACCCACCCAGATCCCATCGGGATCCACTGGGATCCATCAGGAGCCCATTGGGATCCATCAGGATCCACGCAGAGCCCATCGGGATCCGCCCGGAGCCATCAGGATCCAACCAGAGCCCATTGGGAGGCACCCAGATCCATCGGGATCCACTGGGATCCACCCGGAGGGATCAGGATCCACTGGGATCCATCCGGAGCACATCGGGACCCACCCGGAGCCATTGGGATCTGCCCAGAGCCCATCGGGATCCATCAGGATCCACCCGGAGCCCATCGGGATGGACCCAGATCCCATCGGGATCCACTGGGATCCACCCGGAGCCATTGGGATCTGCCCAGAGCCCATCGGGATCTATCAGGATCCACCCGGAGCCATCGGGATCCACCCGGAGCCATCGGGATGGACCCAGATCCCATCGGGATGGACCCGGATCCCATCGGGATGCACTGGGATGCACCCGGAGCCAATCGGATCCACCATGACCACCACTGACCCCCATGGCCATGACGTCATTGGCCACCCCTGACCCCCATTGGCCGCAGGCACCCCCTCCTCCCGGAGGACCCCCCCGCCCCATTCCCAAGGGAATTCCGGGCTGAATCCCGGCTTTTCCCTCCCCCCCCCCCGAGCTTCTCCTGCTCCTTGGAATTCCCGAAATTCCAGCCCTGCCTCTGGAATTTCCGCCCGGAAAAGCCCTTTGTGGCCAATGGCGAGGAAGAGGAGGGCTCGGCCCGCCCCGCCCCGCCCCACAGCCAATGGGAACGAGCCGAGCCGGGACCGGAGCGGGGAGGAACGGCCCCATTCCATAGGGAACTGACCCACATTCCATAGGGAACGGCCCCATTCCATAGGGAACTGCCCCATTCCATAGGGAACGGCCCCATTCCTTAGGGATCTGCCCCATTCCTTAGGGAACTGCCCCATTCCTTAGGGAACTGCTCCCCCATTCCATAGGGAACTGCCCCATTCCATAGGGATCTGCCCCATTCCTTAGGGAACTGCCCCATTCCTTAGGGAACTGCTCCCCCATTCCATAGGGAACTGCCCCATTCCATAGGGAACTGCCCAAGGGATCTGCCCCATTCCATAGAGAACTGCCCCCCATTCCTTAGGGATCTGCCCCCCAATTCCTTAGGGATCTCCCCCCATTCCATAGAGAACTGCCCCCCATTCCTTAGGGATCTGCCCCCCAATTCCTTAGGGATCTCCCCCCATTCCATAGAGAACTGCCCCCCATTCCTTAGGGATCTCCCCCCCATTCCCTAGGGATCTCCCCCCCATTCCTTAGGGATCTCCCCCCATTCCTTAGGGATCTCCCCCCCATTCCCTAGGGATCTCCCCCCCATTCCCTAGGGATCTCCCCCCATTCCTTAGGGATCTGCCCCCCATTCCTTAGGGATCTCCCCCCATTCCTTAGGGATCTGCCCCCCCATTCCCTAGGGATCTGCCCCCCAACCCCAGGGCCGCTCCTTCCGGAGCCCCTTTTCCATGCAGGACCCACAGAAAACATTCCCGGAACGTGGAAAACCGGATCCGTTCCCCCCCCGGGCGCCGCGCCCCGGCATTCCCGAGGGAATTCTCCTCATTCCTTGCCCTTACTGGGCCGGAAGGGAGGAATTCCCGGCTCCTGGAATGGGATCCGGGAGCTCAGCCCATTGCCGCTATGGGGCCGGGGGGGCAGCGCCGCCTCTGCCCCCCATTCCCAGTGCTGCCCCATGGGAAGCCCCTTCGCATCCCATCCCTTTTCCAGCCCCCTGGAATGCCGAGGGATGCTCCGGAGCTGGGAATGACGGATGGGGAATGGGAATGATGGGTGGATAATGGGAATGATGGGTGGGGAATGGGAATGATGGGTGGATAACGGGAATGATGGATGGATAATGGAAATGATGGATGGATAATGGGAATGATGGGTGGGGAACGGGAATGATGGGTGGAGAACGGGAATGATGGATGGGGAACAGGAATGATGGATGGATACTGGGAATGATGGATGGATAAAGGGAATGATGGATGGGGAATGGGAAGGATGGGTGGGGAACAGGAATGATGGATGGATAATGGGAATGATGGGTGGATAAAGGGAATGATGGATGGATAAAGGGAATGATGGATGGGGAATGGGAAGGATGGGTGGGGAACAGGAATGATGGATGGATAATGGGAATGATGGGTGGATAACGGGAATCATGGATGGGGAATGGGAATGATGGGTGGGGAATGGGAATGATGGATGGATAACGGGAATCATGGATGGGGAATGGGAATGATGGGTGGGGAATGGGAATGATGGATGGATACTGGGAATGATGGGTGGATAACGGGAATGATGGATGGATAATGGGAATGATGGGTGGATAACGGGAATCATGGATGCGGAATGGGAATGATGGGTGGGGAATGGGAATGATGGATGGATAATGGGAATGATGGATGGGGAATGGGAATGATGGATGGGGAACAGGAATGATGGATGGATACTGGGAATGATGGATGGATAACGGGAATGATGGATGGATAATGGGAATGATGGGTGGATAACGGGAATCATGGATGGGGAATGGGAATGATGGGTGGGGAATGGGAATAATGGATGGATAACGGGAATCATGGATGGGGAATGGGAATGATGGGTGGGGAATGGGAATGATGGATGGATACTGGGAATGATGGATGGAGAATGGGAATGATGGGTGGGGAATGGGAATGATGGATGGATAATGGGAATGATGGATGGGGAATGGGAATGATGGATGGGGAACAGGAATGATGGATGGATATTGGGAATGATGGATGGAGAACAGGAATGATGGATGGATACTGGGAATGATGGATGGATAAAGGGAATGATGGGTGGATAACGGGAATCATGGATGGGGAATGGGAATGATGGGTGGGGAATGGGAATGATGGATGGATACTGGGAATGATGGATGGAGAATGGGAATGATGGGTGGGGAATGGGAATGATGGATGGGGAACAGGAATGACGGATGGATACTGGGAATGATGGATGGAGAACGGGAATGATGGATGGAGAACGGGAATGATGGATGGACACTGGGAATGACGGATGGATACAGGGAATGATGGATGGGGAACGGGAATGACGGATGGATAACGGGAATGATGGATGAATAACGGGAATGATGGATGGGGAATGGGAATGATGGATGGATACTGGGAATGACGGATGGAGAATGGGAATGACACAGTGATAACGGGAATGATGGATGGAGAACGGGAATGACACAGGGATAACGGGAATGACGGATGGGGAATGGGAATGATGGATGGATACTGGGAATGACGGATAGAGAATGGGAATGACACAGTGATAACGGGAATGATGGATGGGGAATGGGAAAGACACAGGGATAACGGGAATGATGCAGGGATAACGGGAAGGGGTTGGCAGCTCCGGCCGCCCCCAGCCCCATTCCCAACATTCCCAAGGTGCCACCCCAGGCACCGGCCCCGACCTGGGAATGGCTCCAGCCTGGGAGAATCCCTTGGGATGAGCCCGATCCCAGCACCAGGAATGGGGCCGGAAGCACTTCCTATGGGATCACTGCTGACCCCTTCCCATGGGATGACTGCCGACCCCTTCCTATGGGATCACTGCTGACCCCTTCCCATGGGATCACTGCTGACCCCATTCCCATGGGATCACTGCCGACCCCTTCCTATGGGATCACTGCCGACCCCTTCCTATGGGATCACTGCTGACCCCATTCCCATGGGATCACTGCCGACCCCTTCCTATGGGATCACTGCTGACCCCTTCCCATGGGATCACTGCCGACCCCCTTCCCATGGGATGACTGCCGACCCCTTCCCATGGGATCACTGCCGACCCCTTCCTATGGGATCACTGCTGACCCCTTCCTATGGGATCACTGCAGACCCCTTCCCATGGGATCACTGCCGAACCCTTCCCATGGGATCACTGCCGACCCCTTCCCATGGGATCACTGCCGACCCCATTCCCATGGGATCACTGCCGACCCCTTCCTATGGGATCACTGCAGACCCCTTCCCATGGGATCACTGCAGACCCCTTCCCATGGGATCACTGCCGACCCCTTCCCATGGGATCACTGCCGACTCCTTCCTATGGGATCCCCCCCTCCCCATTGGATCCCTCCCCCCCCCCTCCCCCCGGGACCCCCCCTCCCCCCCGGTCATTCCCAGCCCCCGAATTCCCGTTTCCGGGAACGCCGCCCTTCGCCCTGCCCCTCCCCCCCCGCCCTTTCTCCTCTTCCCCATTCCAAGGGCAGGGAGCGGAGCCGCGCCCGCAGCACCCGCCCCCCCCCGGCTCCCTATGGGGCAGCCCCACAGCCAACACCTGGGGGGGGGCAGCCCCATAAACAACACCTGGGGGGGAGCGCCCCACAGCCAACACCTGGGGGGGGCAGCGCCCCATAACCAACACCTGTGGGGGGGGAGCCCCACAACCAACTCCTATGGGGGGGGGCAGCCCCATAACCAACACCTGTGGGGGGGCAGCCCCATAACCAACACCTGGGGGGTGGCAGCCCCATAACCAACAGCTGTGGGGGGGCAGCCCCATAACCAACACCTGGGGGGTGGCAGCCCCACAACCAACACCTGGGGGGGGGAGCGCCCCAGAACCAACACCTGTGGGGGGCAGCCCCATAACCAACTCCTATGGGGGTGCAGCCCCATAACCAACCACTATGGGGGGCAGCCCCATAACCAACCCTTATTGCAAGAGGAGCACTGCATAACCAACTCGTATGGGGGGGAACCCCATAACCAACTCCTATGGGGGGGAGCACCCCATAACCAACTCCTATGGGGGGAGTGCCCCATAACCAACTCTTATGGGGGGGAGCGCCCCATAACCAACTCCTATGGGGGGAGCACCCCACAACCAACTCCTATGAGTGCCTATGAGGGGGAATCCCTCCATAGGCTCCAATGCCTCATAGATCCCCTATAACCCCCCCATTGCCTTTAGGACCCCACAGACCCCCTATAGCTCCCCCCCATAGGCTCTAACACCCCACAGCCCCCCTGCAGCCACCCTATAGGCCCCCCCCACTGCCTTTAGGACCCCACAGACCTCCTATATCCCCCCCCATTCCCTTTAACACCCCACAGCTGCCCTATAGCTCCCCCCCTTTGACTTTAGGACCTCACAGACCCCCTATATCTCCCCCCCATAGGCTCTATCACCCCATAGACCCCCTATACTTCCCCCCCATAGGCTCTATCACCCCCCAGCCACCCTAGAGCAGCCCTGTATCCCCCCAGGCTCTATCACCCCCCAGCCACCTTATACCTTCCCCATAGGCTCTATCACCCTATATCCCTCCCCATTCCCTTTAACACCCCCCAGCCGCCCTATGGCCGCCCTATATCTCCCCCCCATAGCCTCTATCACCCCATAGACCCCCTATATCCTCCCCCATAGGCTCTACCACCCTATATCCCTCCCCATTCCCTTTAACAGCCCCCAGCCGCCCTATGGCTGCCCTATATCCCCCCCCCCTAGCCTCTATCACCCCCCAGCTGCCCTGTATCTCCCCCCATAGGCTCTAACACCCTATATCCCTCCCCATAGGCTCTATCACCCCCCAGCCGCCCTATCCCACCCCCCATAGCCTCTATCCCTCCCCAGCCGCCCTATGGCCACCCTATATCCCCCCCATAGCCTCTATCCCCCCACAGCCCCCCTCATGCCCCACAGCTCCCTCAGGCCCCACAGACCCCCTCAGGCCCCATAGACCCCCATAGGCCCCATAGACCCCCCTAGGCCCCATAGGCCCCATAGACCCCCCTAGGCCCCATAGAGCCCCCTAGGCCCCATAGACCCCCCTCAGGCCCCACAGACCCCCCTCAGGCCCCACAGCTCCCTCAGGCCCCATAGAGCCCCCTCAGGCCCCATAGACCCCCCTCAGGCCCCATAGACCCCCCTAGGCCCCGTTCCTGACCTTCCTCTGCTGTTTCTCCCAGGCGGGGTCCAGGAGCAGGTCCCGGTCCCAGTCCTCCTCCTGGGCCATGTAATCCCCGTCCCTGTCGCGATCCCTGTCGCGATCGCGGTGGTAATCCACCATGCTGATGGCGCCCGCTCCGCCGCCGCAACGCCCCGCTCTGCGCACGCGCGGCCGCGGGACACGCCCACCACGCACGGAGGCGGGAGGGAGGGAGGGGGAAGCCACGCCCACTCTGGCCTCACGCTAACCAATGGCGACGCGACGTGCGGCTAAGCGCCGCCCACCGCGGGGGGCTAAACCACGCCCCTCACGAGGAGCACGTTGAACACGCCGAGACACGCCCCTCGCTTCTGATTCGCTCCTTGGGCTGCTAAGCTCCGCCCTCAACGCTGACGTGCCACCAAGCCACGCCCCCCCCCCCGCTCCTCGCCCGTGGCGCACATTGGCCAGCGAAACACCGCCCACTCGAGCCACGCCCCTCGCTTCTTATTCGCTTATCCGCACATTAAGCCCCGCCCTCAACGCTGACGTGACCAGAAACCACGCCCCCGAGGCGCGCGTTGGCCCGCGAAGCACCGCCCATTCGAGCCAGGCCCCTCGCTTCTGATTCGCTCAAAGGGACATTAAGACCCGCCCTCAACGCTGACGTGACACCAAGCCACGCCCCCCCCCCGCTCCTCGCCCGTGGCGCACATTGGCCAGCAAAGCACCGCCCACTCGAGCCACGCTCCTCGCTTCTGATTCGCTCAACGGGACATTAAGACCCGCCCTCAACACTGACGTGACACCAAGCCACGCCCCCCCACTCACCAGAGGCGCACGGCGGACCGCGAAGCACCGCCCACTCGAGCCACGCCCCTCGCTTCTGATTCGCTCCTTGGGCTGCTGAGCACCGCCCGGAACGCTGACGTGACACAAAGCCACGCCCCCTCTCTTCTGATTCGCTCCTTGCGCTCCCAAACCCCACCCACACCCCTGACGTGACACTAAACCACGCCCCCTCTCTTCTGATTCGCTCCTTGCGCTCCCAATCCCCACCCACACCCCTGACGTGCACTAAACCACGCCCCCTCTCTTCTGATTCGCTCCTTGCGCTCCCAAACCCCACCCACACCCCTGACGTGCACTAAACCACGCCCCCTCTTTTCTGATTCGCTCCTTGGCCTCCCAAACCCCACCCACACCCCTGACGTGCACTAAACCACGCCCCCTCTCTTCTGATTCGCTCCTTGGCCTCCCAAACCCCACCCACACCCCTGACGTCACACTAAACCACGCCCCTCTCTTCCGATTCGCCCATTGACCCTCTAATCCCCGCCCACACCCCATAGGCCACGCTAACCCCCTCCCTACGCCCCACCCTTACGCCCCGCCCACGAGGGGGGCGTGGCTTTCCCACGGCCCCCCCTCCCATTCATTGCCCCCCAACCCGGGCCGAACCAACTCAACCCTGGGGGGGGGGGGGGGTTCCCCTTTATTGAGCCATCACAGGGACGACGCCATGATGCTGGAGACACCTATGGGGAGATGTGGGGTGACGTGTGGGTCTAAAGGAGGGGGGGGGGCACCCCAAAACCCCCCCAAACCCCCCCAAAATCTCACTGTCGAAGTCGATCTTCTCCACGATGTTCTTGGGTTTGATGCTCTCCTCCTGGTTGCAGATGAGCACCCGGCCCGGCTCCGCCTCGCACCACCCGTACTTGCTCATCCACACCTTGAGCTGGGCCTCTATGGGGCAGGGGGGGGGACACAGGGGTATATGGGGGGGGACACCCCAAAAATAGCCCCCCCCCCCCCACTTCATTCATACCTTGAAAATGTCCCACACACATTGGGGACTATGGGTAATGCTGATTACACCCCCCATTGACAGCCAGTGGTGCCCCCCCATTGGTACCCCTAAAATACCCCCCCATTGGTACCCCTAAAATACCCCCCCATTGACAGCCAGTGGTGCCCCCCCATTGGTACCCCTAAAATACCCCCCCATTGACACCCATTGGTACCCCTAAAATACCCCCCCATTTGTACCCCTAAAATACCCCCCATTGACACCCATTGGTACCCCTAAAATACCCCCCATTGACACCCATTGGTACCCCTAAAATACCCCCCATTGACACCCATTGGTACCCCTAAAATACCCCCCCATTGACACCCATTGGTACCCCTAAAATACCCCCCCATTGACACCCATTGGTACCCCTAAAATACCCCCCCATTGACACCCATTGGTACCCCTAAAATACCCCCCCATTGACACCCATTGGTACCCCTAAAATAACCCCCCATTGGTACCCCTAAAATACCCCCCATTGACACCCCTAAAATCCCCCCCCATTGACCCCCATGGGTATGCCCCCCATTGATACCTCCCCCACTGACCCCCATAATTACCCCTAAATTGACCCCCATTGGTACCCCTAAAATACCCCCCCACTGTTCCCCCTCCATTGACCCCCATTGACCCCCATTGTTCCCCCCATTGTTCCCCCCATTGCCCCCCCATACCCGAGAGGTCCCCCAACATCTCAGCCAGGAGCCAGCGGTCGATGTGCTGGTAGGTGATGCCCACCACATGGCAGATGACTGCAAGTGGATAACGGGGGGGGGGTGTCACATTTGGGGGTACCCCCCCCAAAACCCCCCCCTTTTAACCCCAACCCCCCCCTTTTAACCCCAAAATCCCCCCTTTTAACCCCAACCCCCCCCTTTTAACCCCAAAACCCCCCCTTTTAACCCCAAAATACCCCCTTTTAACCCCAAAACCCCCCCTTTTAACCCCAAAATCCCCCCTTTTAACCCCAAAATCCCTTTTAACCCCAAAATCCCCCCTTTTAACCCCAAAATCCCCCCTTTTTAACCCCAAAATCCCCCTTTTTAACCCCAAAATCCCCGTTTTTAACCCCAAAATCCCCCCTTTTAACCCCAAACCCCCCCCTTTTGGCCCCAAAGCCCTCACATTTCCTGACGGAATCCTCGAAGCCGGTGATGCCATCCAGCAGCTCCAGGTTCTCATCCAGGGCTTGCTGGGGAAGAACGGGATGGAAAAGGGGGGGCTGGGACGGGGGGGTCGGGAATTGGGGGTGTCCCCCCCCCCCCCACACCCCAAATGGGACGGACCCAGAAGGCCTGGAAGTGGCAGGTCTCCAGCAGCTCCCCCAGGTACAGGATCTGGCGGATGGGACGCTCGTCCTGCTGGGGGGGGGTCAGGGAAAACTGGGGGGAAACATGGAAAATTGGGGGGGAACACGTGGAAAATTGGGGGGAAACGTGGAAAATTGGGGGGGGAACATGGAAAATTGGGGGGGAAAACATGGAAAATTGGGGGGGAAAACGTGGAAAACTGGGGGGGAAAACATGGAAAATTGGGGGGGAAAACATGGAAAATTGGGGGGAAATGTGGAAAATTGGGGGGAAAACATGGAAAATTGGGGGGGAAAACATGGAAAATTGGGGGGGAAAACGTGGGAAAATTGGGGGGAAATGTGGAAAATTGGGGGGGAAAACATGGAAAATTGGGGGGGAAAACATGGAAAATTGGGGGGAAACGTGGAAAATTGGGGGGGAAAACGTGGAAAATTGGGGGGAAACGTGGAAAATTGGGGGGGAACATGGAAAATTGGGGGGAAACGTGGAAAATTGGGGGGGAACATGGAAAATTGGGGGGAAACGTGGAAAATTGGGGGGGAAAACATGGAAAAATTGGGGGGAAATGTGGAAAATTGGGGGGGAACATGGAAAATTGGGGGGGAACATGGAAAATTGGGGGGGAACATGGAAAATTGGGGGGAAACGTGGAAAATTGGGGGGAAAACATGGAAAATTGGGGGGAAATGTGGAAAATTGGGGGGGAACGTGGAAAATTGGGGGGGAACGTGGAAAATTGGGGGGAAATGTGGAAAATTGGGGGGAAACGTGGAAAATTGGGGGGGAAACGTGGAAAATTGGGGGGAAACGTGGAAAATTGGGGGGAACGTGGAAAATTGGGGGGAAACGTGGAAAATTGGGGGAAACGTGGAAAATTGGGGGGAAATGTGGAAAATTGGGGGGAAACGTGGAAAATTGGGGGGAAACGTGGAAAACTGGGGGGGGAACGTGGAAAATTGGGGGGGAAAACATGGAAAACTGGAGGGGAAATGTGGAAAACTGGGGGGAAACATGGAAAACTGGGGGGAAACATGGAAAACTGGGGGGAAAACATGGAAAACTGGGGGGAAACATGGAAAACTGGGGGGAAATATGGAAAACTACGGGAAATGAGGGGAAAACATGGAAAACTATGGGGAATTGTGGGGAAACATGGAAAACAGGGGGGAAACCATGGAAAACTATGGGGAAACATGGAAAACTGTGGGGAAAACTATGGGGAAATGTGGGGAAATGTGGGAAAACCATGGGGAAACTATGGGGAAACATGGAAAACCATGGGAAAACATGGGAAAACCATGGGAAACCATGGAAAAACATGGGAAAACCATGTGAAAACGTGGGAAAACACGGGAAAACCATGGGAAAACATGGGTAAAAAACCATGGAAAACCATGGGAAAGAGGGGGGAAAGAGATGGGAAAGGGGGGAAGGGTAGGAAAGGAGGGGAAAGATGGGAAGAGATGGGAAAGGAGGGGAAAACGAGATGGGAAAGGATGGGAAGGGAATGGGAAGGGAAAGGAATTGAAGTGGATGGGAAGAGAAAGGAAGGGAAGTGGATGGGAAGTGGGTGGGAAGTGGAGGGGAAGGGAACTGGATGGGAAGGGAAGGGATGGGAAGGGGATGGAAGGGCATGGGAAGGGAAGGGGATGGGAAGGGAAGTGAATGGGATGGGGATGGGACGGGGATGGAATGGGGAAGGGGATGGGATGGGAAGTGAATGGGATGGGGATGGGATGGGAATGGGAAGTGGATGGGAAGTGAATGGGATGGGGATGGGATGGGGATGGGATGGGAAGTGGATGGGATGGGGATGGGAAGTGGATGGGAAGTGAATGGGATGGGGATGGGATGGGGATGGGATGGGAAGTGGATGGGATGGGGATGGATGGGAAGTGGATGGGATGGGGATGGGATGGGGATGGGATGGGAAGTGGATGGGATGGGATGGGGGTGGGATGGGGATGGGATGGGAAGTGGATGGGATGGGATGGGGATGGGGATGGGGATGGGATGGGGGTGGGATGGGGATGGGATGGGAAGTGGATGGGATGGGATGGGGATGGGATGGGGATGGGGATGGGATGGGAAGTGAATGGGATGGGGATGGGGATGGGAAGTGAATGGGATGGGGATGGGGATGGGAAGTGAATGGGATGGGGATGGGATGGGATGGGAAGTGGATGGGATGGGGATGGGGATGGGGATGGGAAGTGAATGGGGATGGGGATGGGATGGGGAAGGGAAGCGGATGGGAAGTGGATGGGAAGTGGATGGGATGTGGATGGGAAGTGGATGGGATGGGGAAGGGAAGTGGATGGGAAGTGGATGGGATGGGGATGGGATGGGGATGGGATGGGATGGGAAGTGAATGGGATGGGGAAGGGAAGTGGATGGGAAGTGGATGGGAAGTGGATGGGATGGGGATGGGGATGGGATGGGATGGGAAGTGAATGGGATGGGGAAGGGAAGTGAATGGGATGGGGAAGGGAAGTGGATGGGAAGTGGATGGGAAGTGGATGGGATGGGGATGGGGATGGGATGGGATGGGAAGTGAATGGGATGGGGAAGGGAAGTGGATGGGAAGTGGATGGGAAGTGGATGGGATGGGGAAGGGAAGTGAATGGGATGGGGAAGGGAATTGGATGGGAAGTGGATGGGAAGTGGATGGGGATGGGGATGGGATGGGAAGTGGGTCTGAGCCCCCTGGTGCTGGTGCGGGTGCGGATACGCGGGCGGCGTCGATCATGCACTTGCAGAGGGTGAAGTCGGTGTGGGGCAGGTTCGTGAGCGCCTTGAGCAGGATCTGCGCCGTCACCGCGCTCTGGAAGAAGGCGGGTTGAACTGGTACCTATGGGGCGCAGGGGGGGTCAGCTCAGAGCCCTGAGGACCCCATAGAGACCCCCCCAGGCCCCATAGACCACATAGAGACCCCCCCAGAGACCCCCCCACGCCAAATAGACCACATAGAGACCCCCCCAGAGACCCCCCCACGCCCCATAGACCCCATAGAGACCCCCCCCAGAGACCCCCCACGCCCCATAGACCCCATAGAGACCCCCCCAGAGACCCCCCCACGCCCCATAGACCACATAGAGACCCCCCCAGAGACCCCAGAGACCCCCCCAGGCCCCATAGACCCCATAGAGACTCCCCCAGAGACCCCAGAGACCCCCCCAGGCCCCATAGACCCCATAGAGACCCCCCCAGAGACCCCAGAGACCCCCCCAGGCCCCATAGACCCCATAGAGACCCCCCCAGAGACCCCCCCACGCCCCATAGACCCCATAGAGACCCCCCCAGAGACCCCCCCCCACGCCCCATAGACCACATAGAGACCCCCCAGGCCCCATAGGCCCCATAGAGACCCCCCCATAGACCCCAGAGACCCCCCAGGCCCCATAGAGACCCCCCCCAGAGACCCCATAGACCCCCCTAGGCCCCATAGAGACCCCCCCAGGCCCCCATAGACCCCATTCAGACCCCCCAACAACCCCATAGAGACCCCCCCAGGCCCCCACAGACCCCATTCAGACCCCTCGAGGACCCCATAGACCCCATGGAGACCCCTCCAGACCCCCATGGACCCCATGGAGACCCCCCCCCAGGCCCCCTCAGACCCCATTCAGACCCCTCAAGGACCCCATAGAGACCCCCCAGGACCCCATAGACCCCATAGAGACCCCCCCAGACCCCATTCAGACCCCCCCAGGCCCCATAGACCCCATGGAGGCCCCCCAGGCCCCATAGACCCCATGGAGGCCCCCCCAGGCCCCATAGACCCCTCACAGCTTGAGCACGGCCAGGTTGGCCTCCAGGTCGTAGGCGTTCTCCTTGGCCTGGGTCTCCACGTAGCGCTCCAGGGTGGCCAGGTTCTCGGGGTTGTACCTGCGGGAATGGGGTGGGATGAGGGAATGGGGCGGGAGAACGGGAATGGGGTGGGATGAGGGAATGGGCGGGAGAATGGGAATGGGGCGGGAGAACGGGAATGGGGTGGGATGAGGGAATGGGGCGGGAGAACGGGAATGGGGCGGGAGAACGGGAATGGGGTGGGATGAGGGAATGGGGCGGGAGAACGGGAATGGGGCGGGAGAACGGGAATGGGGTGGGATGAGGGAATGGGGTGGGAGAACGGGAATGGGGCGGGAGAACGGGAATGGGGCAGGGAGAACGGGGCAGGAGAACGGGAATGGGGCGGGAGAACGGGAATGGGGCAGGAGAACGGGAATGGGGCAGGGGGAATGTGGGAAAAACATGGAAAACTGGGGGAAATATGGGGAAATGTGGGAAAACATGGAAAACTGGGGGAAAACTAGGGGGAAAACATGGAAAACTGGGGGAAATGTGAGGAAAACATGGAAAACTGGGGGAAATGTGGAAAATTGGGGGGAAATGTGGGGAAATGTGGGAAAAACATGGAAAACGGGGGGAAATGTGGGGAAAACATGGAAAACTATAGGGAAACGTGGGGAAATGTGGGAAAAACGTGGAAAACTGGGGGGGGAACATGGAAAACTGGGGGGAAATATGGGGAAATGTGGGAAAACATGGAAGACTGGGGGAAAACATGGAAAACGGGGGAAATGTGAGGAAAACATGGAAAACTGGGGGGAAATGTGGAAAATTGGGGGGAAATGTGGGGAAATGTGGGAAAAACATGGAAAACGGGGGAAATGTGGGAAAAACGTGAAAACTGGGGGGGGAAACATGGAAAACTGGGGGGAAATATGGGGGAAAACATGGAAAACTGGGGGAAATGTGAGGAAAACATGGAAAACTCGGGGGAAATATGGAAAATTGGGGGAAATGTGGGAAATGTGGGAAAAACGTGGAAAACTTGGGGGGAAACATGAAAAACTGGGGGGAAACGTGGGGGAATTGTGGTGGGAAAACTGGGGGAAAGTGGGGAAAACATGGAAAACTGGGGGGAAATGTGGAAAACTGGGGGAAAACTATGGGGAAATGTGGGGAAATGTGGGGAATGGGGCAGGAGAACGGGAATGGGGCAGGGATAACGGGACCCCCCTCACCCCCTCCAGCGGCCGCCATGACAGGCCTCGTAGGCCGCGCTCGGTCCCGGTCGCTGTTTGACCCCCCGGGACCCCTCCCCCCCGGCCCCCCCGGTCCCCGCCCCTCCCCCCGCCCCTCCCCCCTCCCCCCGGAGCCCCTCCCCCCCCCGGTACCGGTCAATTCCCCGCAGCAGCTTCCCCACGTTCGCGCGCATCTGCTCGAAGAGCGCCATGGCCGACCGGAAGTGACGGCGCCGCGGAGCACCATGGGAACGTGGAGGACCCCGGGGATGGGGGCTTGGACACGCCCACGGGGGGGTTAGACCACGCCCACCGGGTCTTAAAGCACAGCCCTGGGTCCTAAAGCCCGCCCGACTCGCTGAGGAACCCTTAAACACCCCCCCCTTGGGACCCCCAAATCCCGGTCTGGGACCCCCAAATTCCACCCCGGAACCCCTAAATCCCATCCCAGGACCCCCAGATCCGGTTTTGGGACCCCAAATCCAACCCCAGGACCCCCAAATCCAACCCCGGGACCCCCAAATTCCACCCCGGAACCCCCAAATCCCATCCCAGGACCCCCAGATCCGTTTTTGGGACCCCAAATCCAACCCCAGGACCCCCAGATCCTCCTCTGGGACCCCCAAATCCCATCCCAGGACCCCCAAATCTTCCTCTGGGACCCCCAAATCCAACTCCAGGACCCCCAGATCCTCCTCTAGGACCCCCAGATCCCATCCCAGGACCCCCAAATCCCCCTCTAGGACCCCCAGATCCCATCCCAGGACCCCCATATTCCACCCCAGGACCCCCAAATCCCCACCCCAGGACCCCCAAATCCCCACCCAAGACCCCCAAATCCCACCCCAGAACCCCCCAAACCCCCCCATGAACCCCCCAAATCCCCCCATTGACCCCCAAATTCCCCCTATGATCCCAAATCCCCCCCCAGAACCCCCCCAACCCCCCCCATTGACCCCCAAATTCCCCCTATGATCCCAAATCCCCCCCAAGAACCCCCAAAATCCCCCCTAGAACCCCCCAACCCCCCCCATTGACCCCCAAATTCCCCCTATGATCCCAAATCCCCCCCCAGAACCCCCCAACCCCCCCATTGACCCCCAAATTCCCCCTATGATCCCAAATCCCCCCCCAGAACCCCCCAAAACCCCCCCATTGACCCCCAAATTCCCCCTATGATCCCAAATCCCCCCCAGAACCCCCCAAACCCCCCCCCAGAACCCCCCAACCCCCCATTGACCCCAAATTCCCCCTATGATCCCAAATCCCCCCCCCCAATGGGGTTCAATGGGGCGGGGGGCAAGAAAGAGCCTGGCCCCATTGATGCTCTGCAGCTTTATTGAGGATGGAGGCAAATGCAACCCCCCCATTGGCCAAGGCACTTAAAGGGGGGGCTGGGGGGGGGGATTTGGGGGGCTGGGGGGGGAGGGGGGGGGAATCATCCCAATTGATCCTCGTATTGCTTCCGGAAGCAGTCCCCGGCCGGGAAGAAATCCCAGCAGCGCTCCTGGTACATCTTCCACACATAGGATTCCTGGGGGCAGGGCACAGGCAGTGGGGCGGAGGAACCACACAGGAGCCCAGAGGAGCCCCAGAGGAGCCCCATAGGAAACCCATAGGAAACCCATAGGAACCCCATAGGAAACCCATAGGAACCACATAGGAACCCCATAGGAACCCCATAGGAACCCCATAGGAACCACACAGGAGCCCCAGAGGAGCCCCATAGAAACCCCATAGGAACCCCATAGGAGCCCCATAGGAACCCCATAGGAGCCCCATAGGAGCCACACAGGAACCCCATAGGAACCCCATAGGAACCACACAGGAACCCCATAGGAACCACATAGGAACCCCATAGGAACCACACAGGAACCCCATAGGAACCACACAGGAACCCCATAGGAACCCCATAGGAACCCCATAGGAGCCCCATAGGAAACCCATAGGAAACACACAGGAACCCCATAGGAACCACATAGGAACCCCATAGGAGCCCCATAGGAAACACACAGGAACCCCATAGGAACCACACAGGAGCCCCAGAGGAGCCCCATAGGAAACCCATAGGGAACCCCATAGGAAACCCATAGGAAACCCATAGGAAACCCATAGGAGCCCCATAGGAGCCACACAGGAACCCCATAGGAACCCCATAGGAACCCCATAGGAACCCCATAGGAGCCCCATAGGAAACCCATAGGAAACACACAGGAACCCCATAGGAACCCCATAGGAACCACACAGGAAACCCATAGGAACCCCATAGGAACCCCAGAGAAACCCCAGAGAAACCCCATAAAAACCGCCATAAAAACCCCCATAGAATCCTCTATAGAAAGCCCCATAGAAATCCCATAGAAACCCCATAGAAACCCCCATAAAAACCCCCATAGAAACTGCCATAAAAAAAACCATAGAAACCCCATAGAAACCCCAATAGAAACCCCATAGGAACCCCATAGAAACCCCATAGAAACCCCCATAGAAACCCCATAGAAACCCCATAGAAACCCCAATAGAAACCCCATAGAAACCCCATAGAAACCCCAATAGAAACCCCATAGAAACCCCATAGAAACCCCAATAGAAACCCCATAGAAACCCCCATAGAAACCCCATAGAAACCCCAATAGAAACCCATAGAAACCCATAGAAACCCCATAGAAACCCCAATAGAAACCCCATAGAAACCCCATAGAAACCCCAATAGAAACCCCATAGAAACCCCCATAGAAACCCCATAGAAACCCCAATAGAAACCCCATAGAAACCCCATAGAAACCCCAATAGGAACCCCCATAGAAACCCCATAGAAACCCCCATAGAAACCTCTATAGGAACCCCATAGAAACCCCATAGAAAACCCATAGAAACCCCCTAAACCCCCCCCCCAACCCCTCCCGTATCCCTTAGTGACCATTAGCACCCCCCAATGGCCAATAGGAGCCCCCCAAAGGCCAATAGGAGCCCCCCAATGACCAATGAGAGCCCCCCAATGACCAATAGGAGCCCCCAATGACCAATAGGAGCCCCCCAATGGCCAATAGGAGCCCCCAATGACCAATAGGAGCCCCAATGGCCAATAGGAGCCCCCCAATGACCAATAGGAGCCCCCAATGACCAATAGGAGCCCCCCAATGACCAATAGGAGCCCCCAATGGCCAATAGGAGCCCCCCAATGACCAATGAGAGCCCCCAATGACCAATAGGAGCCCCCCAATGACCAATAGGAGCCCCCAATGACCAATAAGAGCCCCCCAATGGCCAATAAGAGCCCCCAATGGCCAATAGGAGCCACCCAATGACCAATAAGAGCCCCCAATGACCAATAGTAGCCCCCCAATGACCAATAGGAGCCCCCAATGACCAATAGTAGCCCCCCAATGACCAATAGTAGCCCCCCAATGACCAATAGGAGCCCTCCAATGACCAATAGTAGCCCCCCAATGACCAATAGTAGCCCCCCAATGACCAATAGGAGCCCTCCAATGACCAATAGTAGCCCCCCAATAGCCAATAGGAGCCCCCAATGACCAATAGGAGCCCCCCAAAGGCCGTTGCCACCCCACAGCCGTTGCCCCCCATCCCCACCTGCCCCGTGTGCTCTGTCTCGTCCTTATTGATCAGGTACATGAGGAAGAACCTGGACCAATGGGAGAAGGGGGGGGCAGTGGTTAATGGGGGCACTGGGGACCCCCAGCCCCATAAGTGCCCCCCCCACCCCGCAGCGCCTCACATGTAGTTGGCCAGGTTGTGCTCCTCCAAGGTGTGGGTCTCGAAGCCGTGGGGCGTCGTGTCGAAGTAGTCGCTCCCGATGCCGCAGATGAAGCACTTGGTCTATGGGGGGGCAGTGGGGCCGATGGGGGGCAGTGGGGGTCGGTGGGGGTCGATGGGGGTCGATGGGGGTCAATGGGGGTCAATGGGGGTCGATGGGGGTCAATGGGGGTCAATGGGGGTCAATGGGGATCAATGGGTGTCAATGGGGATCAATGGGGATCAATGGGGGTCAGTGGGGATCAATGGGATCAATGGGGGTCAATGGGGATCAATGGGGGTCAATGGGGGTCAATGGGTGTCAATGGGGATCAATGGGATCGATGGGGGTCAATGGGGATCAATGGGTGTCAATGGGATCAATGGGGGTCAATGGGGATCAATGGGATCAATGGGGGTCAATGGGGGTCAATGGGGGTCAATCGGGATCAATGGGGGATCAATGGGATCAATGGGGGTCAATGGGGATCAATTGGGATCAATCGGGATCAATGGGGGATCAATGGGATCGATGGGGGTCAATGGGGATCAATGGGTGTCAATGGGATCAATGGGGGTCAATGGGATCAATGGGATCAATGGGGGTCAATGGGGATCAATGGGGATCAATGGGATCAATGGGGGTCAATGGGGTTCAATGGGGATCAATGGGTGTCAATGGGATCAATGGGTGTCAATGGGATCAATGGGGTTCAATGGGGATCAATGGGATCAATGGGGATCAATGGGATCAATGGGGGTCTATGTGGGGCAGGGCCCCCAAGCCCGCCCCATAGATTGGGGTCCGCCCCCCACCTCCATGTCCTCCTTCACTTGCTCCTGCTGATCCCTCAGCTCCCCAAAGGCGTCAATGATCAGACCTGGGGGGGCACAAAGGGGGTCAGCCCCATAGCCCCCATTACCCCATAGCCCACATAGCCCCCATTACCCCATAGCCCCCATTCCCCCATTCCCCCATGGCCCCATAGCCCCCATTACCCCATAGCCCCCATTCCACCCATTCCCCTGTAGCCCCATAGCCCCCAATTACCCCCATTTCCCCATAGCCCCCATTCCCCCCTCATAGCCCCATTCCCCCCCCATAGCCCCCCATAGACCCCATTCCCCCATTCCCCCCCATAGCCCCATACCCCCCATAGCCCCATAGCTCCATAACCCCCATAGCCCCCTAGCCCCCCACAGCCCCCCCATAGCCCCCATTAGCCCATTCACCCCCATTCGCCCCCATACCCCCATTCCCCCCACAGCCCCATAGCCCCACAGCCCCACAGCCCCATAGCAACCCCATAGCCCCATAGCGCGCCCCACATCCCTATAGCCCCCCAGCCCCATAGCGCCCCATAGCCCCCCCCAGGCCCATAGCCCTCCAGCCCCATAGCCCCCCACCCCCCACAGCCCCCCAGCCCCATAGCCCCACAGCCCCCCATAGCCCCATAACCCCCAGACCCCAGCGCCACAGCCCCATAACCCCCATAGCCCCATAGCGCCCCCATAGCCCCACAGCCCCCCACAGCCCCATAGCCCCCCCCCCAGCCCCATAGCGCCCCAGCCCCACAGCCCCCCACAGCCCCACAGCCCCATAGCACGCCCCAGCCCCATAGGCCCCCCTAGCCCCATAGCGCCCCCCATAGCCTCATAGCGCCCCATAGCGCCCCATAGCGCCCCATAGCGCCCCACGTGCCCTGGATGATGGTGAGCAGGATGACGATGACGAAGAAGAAGAAGGTGATGTCGAACACGACCCCCCCAGCCCCATAGCGCCCCATAGCGCCCCATAGCGCCCCATAGCGCCCCATAGCGCCCCACGTGCCCTGGATGATGGCGAGCAGGATGACGATGACGAAGAAGAAGAAGGTGATGTCGAACACGCCCCCCCCAGCCCCATAGCGCCCCATAGCGCCCCATAGCCCCATAGCGCCCCATAGCGCCCCATAGCGCCCCACGTGCCCTGGATGATGGCGAGCAGGATGACGATGACGAAGAAGAAGAAGGTGATGTCGAACACGCCCCCCCCAGCCCCATAGCGCCCCATAGCCCCATAGCGCCCCATAGCGCCCCACGTGCCCTGGATGATGGCGAGCAGGATGACGATGACGAAGAAGAAGAAGGTGATGTCGAACACGACCCCCCCAGCCCCACAGCGCCCCATAGCGCCCCACAGCGCCCCACGTGCCCTGGATGATGGCGAGCAGGATGACGATGACGAAGAAGAAGAAGGTGATGTCGAACACGAACCCCCAGCCCCATAGCGCCCCATAGCGCCCCATAGCGCCCCACAGCGCCCCATAGCGCCCCATAGCGCCCCCCAGCGCCCCACAGCGCCCCATAGCGCCCCACGTGCCCTGGATGATGGCGAGCAGGATGACGATGACGAAGAAGAAGAAGGTGATGTCGAACACGACCCCCCCAGCCCCACAGCGCCCCATAGCGCCCCACAGCGCCCCACGTGCCCTGGATGATGGCGAGCAGGATGACGATGACGAAGAAGAAGAAGGTGATGTCGAACACGAACCCCCAGCCCCATAGCGCCCCATAGCGCCCCATAGCGCCCCACAGCGCCCCATAGCGCCCCATAGCGCCCCCCAGCGCCCCACAGCGCCCCATAGCGCCCCACTGTGCCCTGGATGATGGCGAGCAGGATGACGATGACGAAGAAGAAGAAGGTGATGTCGAACACCACCCGGTAGAGTTCGTACTCGTCCCCCGCCGGGTCCTCGATCTCGTCCCGATGCCGCCCCCGGCCCGGACCCCCACGTACATGTGGAACAGGTAACACTGGGGCAGCAAGTCAGACCCATAGCGACCCATAGGGACCCATGGGGACCCATGGGGACACATAGAGACACATAGAGACACATAGAGACACATAGGGACACATAGGGACACATAGAGACCCATAGGGACCCATGGGGACACATAGAGACACATAGAGACACATAGGGACACATAGGGACACATAGGGACACATAGAGACACATAGAGACACATAGGGACACATAGAGACACATAGGGACACATAGAGACACATAGAGACACATAGAGACCCATAGGGACACATAGGGACACATAGAGACCCATAGGGACCCATGGGGACACATAGAGACACATAGAGACACATAGGGACACATAGGGACACATAGGGACACATAGGGACACATAGAGACACATAGAGACACATAGGGACACATAGGGACACATAGAGACACATAGAGACACATAGAGACCCCATAGAGACACATAGAGACACATAGAGACACATAGGGACACATAGAGACACATAGGGACACATAGAGACACATAGAGACCCCATAGAGACACATAGAGACACATAGAGACACATAGGGACACATAGAGACACATAGAGACACATAGAGACACATAGAGACACATAGGGACACATAGGGACACATAGGGACACATAGAGACACATAGAGACACATAGAGACACATAGGGACCCATAGGACCCATAGGGACACATAGGGACCCATAGGGACACATAGGGACACATAGAGACACATAGGGACCCATAGGGACCCATAGGGACCCATAGGGACACATAGGGACCCCATAGAGACCCATAGGGACCCCCAGTACCCTATAGATGCCCCCAGGAACCCATACCCCCCATAGCCCCCATTGACCCCATACCACCCATAGCCCCGATAATTCCCATAACCCCCATAGCAGCCCCATAGCCCCATAACCCCCATAGCCCTATAGCACCCATAGCCCCGTAGCTCCCCTAACCCCCAAACCCCCATAGCCCCATAGCAGCCCCATAGCCCCCATAGCCCCCATAGCTGCCCCATAACCCCCATAATCCCCATAGCCCCATAGCCCCCATACCCCCCCAGCCCCCTAGCCCCATAGCTGCCCCATAGCCCCCATAACCCCCATAGCCCCCATACCTCCATAGCCCCATAGATGCCCCATAGCCCCCATACCCCCATAGCCCCCATAGCCCCATAGCTGCCCCATAGCCCCATAGCCCCCATAGCCCCATAGCTGCCCCATACCCCCATAATCCCCATAGCCCCCATAACCCCCATAGCCCCCATACCCCCATACCCCCATAGCCCCATAGCCCCCATAACCCCCATAGCCCCATAGCCCCATAGCTGCCCCATAACCCCGATAATCCCCATAGCCCCATAGCTCCCATAACCCCCATAGCCCCCATAGCCCCATAGCCCCATAGCTCCCATAACCCCCATAGCCCCATACCCCCATAGCTGCCCCATAGCGCCGTGGGGCGCCCCCTACCGTCATCATGTCGTCGCACTTCATGTCGGGCTCGGCCTCGTCCTCGCTCTTGTTGTAGAACTTGCGGAAGAAGTTGAAGGCGACCACGGTGTAAAGGTAAACGACGACGGCCAGGAGCCCCACGGTCATGGTGAGCTGTGGGGCAGGGACCCATAGCGACCCATAGCGAGACCCATAGCGACCCATAGATATCATAGAGAGACCCCATAGATGGCCAGGAGCCCCACGGTCATGGTGAGCTGTGGGGCAGGGACCCATAGCGACCCATAGCGAGACCCATAGCGACCCATAGATATCATAGAGAGACCCCATAGATGGCCAGGAGCCCCACGGTCATGGTGAGCTGTGGGGCAGGGACCCATAGCGACCCATAGCGAGACCCATAGCGACCCATAGATATCATAGAGAGACCCCATAGACGGCCAGGAGCCCCACGGTCATGGTGAGCTGTGGGGCAGGGACCCATAGCGACCCATAGCGAGACCCATAGCGACCCATAGATATCATAGAGAGACCCCATAGATGGCCAGGAGCCCCACGGTCATGGTGAGCTGTGGGGCAGGGGACCCATAGCGACCCATAGCGAGACCCATAGCGACCCATAGATATCATAGAGAGACCCCATAGACGGCCAGGAGCCCCACGGTCATGGTGAGCTGTGGGGCAGGGACCCATAGCGACCCATAGCGAGACCCATAGCGACCCATAGATATCATAGAGAGACCCCATAGACGGCCAGGAGCCCCACGGTCATGGTGAGCTGTGGGGCAGGGACCCATAGCGACCCATAGCGAGACCCATAGCGACCCATAGATATCATAGAGAGACCCCATAGATGGCCAGGAGCCCCACGGTCATGGTGAGCTGTGGGGCAGGGACCCATAGCGACCCATAGCGAGACCCATAGCGACCCATAGAATATCATAGAGAGACCCCATAGACGGCCAGGAGCCCCACGGTCATGGTGAGCTGTGGGGCAGGGACCCATAGCGACCCATAGCGAGACCCATAGCGACCCATAGATATCATAGAGAGACCCCATAGATGGCCAGGAGCCCCACGGTCATGGTGAGCTGTGGGGCAGGGACCCATAGCGACCCATAGCGAGACCCATAGCGACCCATAGATATCATAGAGAGACCCCATAGACGGCCAGGAGCCCCACGGTCATGGTGAGCTGTGGGGCAGGGACCCATAGCGACCCATAGCGAGACCCATAGCGACCCATAGATATCATAGAGAGACCCCATAGATGGCCAGGAGCCCCACGGTCATGGTGAGCTGTGGGGCAGGGACCCATAGCGACCCATAGCGAGACCCATAGCGACCCATAGATATCATAGAGAGACCCCATAGACGGCCAGGAGCCCCACGGTCATGGTGAGCTGTGGGGCAGGGACCCATAGCGACCCATAGCGAGACCCATAGCGACCCATAGATATCATAGAGAGACCCCATAGACGGCCAGGAGCCCCACGGTCATGGTGAGCTGTGGGGCAGGGACCCATAGCGACCCATAGCGAGACCCATAGCGACCCATAGATATCATAGAGAGACCCCATAGATGGCCAGGAGCCCCACGGTCATGGTGAGCTGTGGGGCAGGGACCCATAGCGACCCATAGCGAGACCCATAGCGACCCATAGATATCATAGAGAGACCCCATAGACGGCCAGGAGCCCCACGGTCATGGTGAGCTGTGGGGCAGGGACCCCATAGCGACCCATAGCGAGACCCATAGCGACCCATAGATATCATAGAGAGACCCCATAGATGGCCAGGAGCCCCACGGTCATGGTGAGCTGTGGGGCAGGGACCCATAGCGACCCATAGCGAGACCCATAGCGACCCATAGATATCATAGAGAGACCCCATAGACGGCCAGGGAGCCCACGGTCATGGTGAGCTGTGGGGCAGGGACCCATAGCGACCCATAGCGAGACCCATAGCGACCCATAGATATCATAGAGAGACCCCATAGATGGCCAGGAGCCCCACGGTCATGGTGAGCTGTGGGGCAGGGACCCATAGCGACCCATAGCGAGACCCATAGCGACCCATAGATATCATAGAGAGACCCCATAGACGGCCAGGAGCCCCACGGTCATGGTGAGCTGTGGGGCAGGGACCCATAGCGACCCATAGCGAGACCCATAGCGACCCATAGCGAGACCCATAGCGACCCATAGATATCATAGAGAGACCCCATAGATGGCCAGGAGCCCCACGGTCATGGTGAGCTGTGGGGCAGGGACCCATAGCGACCCATAGCGAGACCCATAGCGACCCATAGCGAGACCCATAGCGACCCATAGATATCATAGAGAGACCCCATAGATGGCCAGGAGCCCCACGGTCATGGTGAGCTGTGGGGCAGGGACCCATAGCGACCCATAGCGAGACCCATAGCGACCCATAGATATCATAGAGAGACCCCATAGACGGCCAGCAGCCCCACGGTCATGGTGAGCTGTGGGGCAGGGACCCATAGCGACCCATAGCGAGACCCATAGCGACCCATAGATATCATAGAGAGACCCCATAGACGGCCAGGAGCCCCACGGTCATGGTGAGCTGTGGGGCAGGGACCCATAGCGACCCATAGCGAGACCCATAGCGACCCATAGCGAGACCATAGCGACCCATAGATATCATAGAGAGACCCCATAGATGGCCAGCAGCCCCACGGTCATGGTGAGCTGTGGGGCAGGGACCCATAGCGACCCATAGCAGAGACCCATAGCGACCCATAGCGAGACCCATAGCGACCCATAGATATCATAGAGAGACCCCATAGACGGCCAGGAGCCCCACGGTCATGGTGAGCTGTGGAGCAGGGACCCATAGCGACCCATAGCGAGACCCATAGCGACCCATAGATATCATAGAGAGACCCCATAGACGGCCAGGAGCCCCACGGTCATGGTGAGCTGTGGGGCAGGGACCCATAGCGACCCATAGCGAGACCCATAGTGACCCACAGCGAGACCCATAGCGACCCACAGCGACCCATAGATATCATAGAGAGAACCCATAGACGGCCAGCAGCCCCACGGTCATGGTGAGCGGGGGGGCACAGGACCCCCCCTGCTTGCCGTTGTGGGTCACGGAGGACAGGATGGTGCACAGCATCCCACAGACCCCCATAGCTGCCCCATAGCCGCCCCATAGCCGCCCCACAGCCGCCCCATAGCTGCCCCATAGCCGCCCCACAGCTGCCCCATAGCCGCCCCACCTGCTTGCCGTTGTGGGTCACGGAGGACAGGATCGTGCGCAGCATCCCACAGACCCCCACAGCCGCCCCATAGCCGCCACATAGCCGCCCCACAGCCGCCCCATAGCCGCCCCACAGCCGCCCCATAGCCGCCCCATAGCCGCCCCACAGCCGCCCCACAGCCGCCCCACAGCCGCCCCACAGCCGCCCCATAGCCGCCCCACAGCCGCCCCATAGCCGCCCCACAGCCGCCCCATAGCCGCCCCATAGCCGCCCCATAGCCGCCCCACAGCCGCCCCACAGCCGCCCCACAGCCGCCCCATAGAGGCCCCATAGCCGCCCCACAGCCGCCCCATAGCCGCCCCATAGCCGCCCCACAGCCGCCCCATAGCCGCCCCACAGCCGCCCCACAGCCGCCCCACAGCCGCCCCACCTGCTTGCCGTTGTGGGTCACGGAGGACAGGATCGTGCGCAGCATCCCACAGACCCCCACAGCCGCCCCATAGCCGCCCCATAGCCGCCCCATAGCTGCCCCATAGCCGCCCCACAGCCGCCCCCACAGCCGCCCCACAGCCGCCCCACAGCCGCCCCATAGCCGCCCCACAGCCGCCCCATATTCGCCCCATAGCCGCCCCATAGCCGCCCCACAGCCGCCCCATAGCCGCCCCACAGCCGCCCCATATTCGCCCCATAGCCGCCCCACAGCCGCCCCACAGCCGCCCCACCTGCTTGCCGTTGTGGGTCACGGAGGACAGGATCGTGTGCAGCATCCCACAGACCCCCACAGCCGCCCCATAGCCGCCCCATAGCCGCCCCATAGCTGCCCCATAGCCGCCCACAGCCGCCCCACAGCCGCCCCATAGCCGCCCCATAGCCGCCCCATAGCCGCCCCACAGCCGCCCCACAGCCGCCCCATAGCCGCCCCACAGCCGCCCCATAGCCGCCCCACAGCCGCCCCATAGCCGCCCCATAGCCGCCCCATAGCCGCCCCCACAGCCGCCCCACAGCCGCCCCACAGCCGCCCCATAGCCGCCCCACAGCCGCCCCATAGCCGCCCTATAGCCGCCCCACAGCTGCCCCATAGCCGCCCCACAGCCGCCCCACAGCCGCCCCACAGCCGCCCCACAGCCGCCCCATAGCCGCCCCACCTGCTTGCCGTTGTGGGTCACGGAGGACAGGATCGTGCGCAGCGTCTTCACCCCCATGGCGATGTCCAGGAGGTGCGAGGCGAAGAAGAAGTTGTTGTAGTGGCCCAGCAGGGACATGGCCATGTACCACGTGAGGTACAGGAAGGACTGGGGGGGCACGGGCGTCAGTGGGGGCTGCCCCATGGATGGGGGGCACGGGGGTCAATGGGGCTGCCCCATGGATGAGGGGACGTGGGTGTCAATGGGGCTGCCCCATGGATGGGGGGCGCAGGGGTCAATGGGGCAGCCACATGGATGGGGGGCACAGGGGTCAATGGGGCTGCCCCATGGATGGGGGGCACGGGCGTCAGTGGGGCTGCCCCATGGATGGGGGGCACAGGGGTCAATGGGGCTGCCCCATGGATGTGGGGTGTGGGTGTCAGTGGGGCTGCCCCATGGATGGGGGGCGCAGGGGTCAATGGGACAGCCACACGGATGGGGGGTGCGGGTGTCAATGGGGCTGCCCCATGGATGTGGGGCGCAGGGGTCAATGGGGCTGCCCCATGGATGGGGGGCACAGGGGTCAATGGGGCTGCCCCATTGTGGGTGTCAGTGGGGCTGCCCCATGGATGGGGGGCGCGGGTGTCAATGGGGCTGCCCTATGGATGTGGGGCATGGGTGTCAATGGGGCTGCCCCATGGATGTGGGGTGTGGGTGTCAATGGGGCAGCCCCATGGATGTGGGGCGCGGGTGTCAATGGGGCAGCCCCATGGATGGAGGGCACCCAGCCCCCATTGACCAGGGACACCCAGTGATGGGGGTCCCAACGCCCTGAACACCCCCCCATCCCTATGGGCCCCCCAACCCCCCATGGCAGCCCCATGGCTTCGCCCCTCCCCCACTCACGTTGTCCGTGAAGATGACCCCAAACTTCCAGATCTGGTACCGGATGTCGATGGAAGTGACCCTGGGGGATGGGGGGGGGAGGGGTGAGCACCGGGGATGGGGGAGGGGGGGAGGGGCACCAGGTGTGGGGGATGGGGGGGGGATGGGGGGGGGATGAGCACTGGGTATGGGGGATGATGGGGGATGGGGGGGGTGAGCACCGGGGATGGGGGGAGGGGGGGGATGGGGGATGGGCACCAAGTATGGGGGATGAGGGGGGAATGGGGGGGATGGGGGGGGATGGGCACCAGGTGTGGGGGATGGGGGGGATGGGGAAGGGGGGGGGGGGATGGGCACCAGGTGTGGGGGATGGGGGGGGATGAGGGGGGTCGGGGATGGGGGGGGATGGGCACCAGGTGTGGGGGATGGAGGGGGGGGATTGGGGGTAATGGGGGGGGATGTGGGGGGTACGGGGGGGATGGGTACCAGGTGTGGGGGATGGGGCGGGATGGGGGGGAGGTGAGCACCGGGGATGGGGGGGGATGGGCACCAGGTTTGGGGGATGGGGCGGGATGGGGGGGAGGTGAGCACCGGGGATGGGGAAGGGGGGGGATGGGGGATGGGCAGAAGGTGTGGGGGATGGGGGGGGATGGGAAAGGGGGGGGATGGGCACCCGGTATAGGGGGGACGGGGGGGGTCACCAGATTTGGGGGATGGGGGGGGGATGGGGAAGGGGGGGGATGGGCACCAGGTGTGGGGGATGGGGGGGGGTGGGGGAGGGGTTCTCCCGTACCACGTGATGAGGGAGCTGTCGGGGGCCGCGCCCCGCCCCCCCTGCGCCCCTATCTCCAGGCTCGCCAGGTCCATGCCCAGCAGCTCCGCGATGCGCTCGCGCCCGTAAATGGCCCCGTACTTGTCCAGCACCTGTGGGGCGGGCCCCACACCCGTTGGTTAGGGGGGGACCCACACCCATGGTTATGGGGGGGACCCACGGCTTGGTTATGGGGTGACCCACAGCTTGGTTATGGGGGGGACCCACAGCTTGGTTATGGGGTGACCCACACCCATTGGTTATGGGGTGACCCACGGCTTGGTTAGGGGGTGACCCACAGCTTGGTTATGGGGTGACCCACAGCTTGGTTATGGGGTGACCCACACCCATTGGTTATGGGGTGCCCCACGGCTTGGTTAGGGGGTGCCCCACACCTTGGTTAGGGGGGGACCCACACCCATTGGTTAGGGGGGGACCCACGGCTCGGTTATGGGGTGACCCACACCTTGGTTATGGGGTGCCCCACAGCTTGGTTAGGGGGTGACCCCCTCCCATTGGTTATGGGTCCCCCCCCATGGTTATGGGGTTCCCTCCCCCCTTGGTTATGGGTCCCCCCCATGGTTATGGGGTGCCTCCCCCCTTAGTTATGGGTCTCCCCCACGGTTATGGGGCTCCCTCCCCCCCGGTTATGGGTCCCCCCCCATGGTTATGGGTCCCCCCCCACAGTTATGGGGCTCCCTCCCCCCCCCCGTTATGGGGCTCCCTCCCCCCACAGTTATGGGGCTCCTCCCCCCATGGTTATGGGGCTCCCTCCCCCCACAGTTATGGGGCTCCCCCCCCACACAGTTATGGGGCTCCCTCCCCATGGTTATGGGGCTCCCCCCCCCCCCGTTATGGGGTGCCCCCCCCCCACCTTCCTCTTGACGAATTTGTCCCAGTAGTTTCTAGGGAAGGATCTGGGGGGGACACGGGGGGGGGAGGGGTCAGGATGGTTCTGAGCCCCCCTGGACCCACACAGACCCCCATAAACCCCCCCATAGCCGCCCCATAGCCCCCCATACCCTCCCACAGCCGCCCCATAGCCCCCCATACCCCCCCATACCCCCCATAGCCCCCATACCCCCCCCATAGACCCCATATCCCCCCCCCCCCAGCCACCCTATACCCCCCCCCCAGCCGCCCCACAGCTGCCCCATAGGTGCCCCATAGCTCCCCCCAGCCGCCCCATAGGTGCCCCATAGCTCCCCATAGCTGCCCCATAGGTGCCCCATAGGTGCCCCATAGCTCCCCATAGGTGGCCCATAGGTGCCCCATAGCTCCCCACAGCCGCCCCATAGGTGCCCCATAGGTGCTCCATAGGTGCCCCATAGCTCCCCACAGCCGCCCCATAGGTGCCCCATAGGTGCCCCATAGGTGCCCCATAGCTCCCCATAGGTGCCCCATAGGTGCCCCATAGCTCCCCATAGGTGCCCCATAGGTCCCCCATAGATCCCCATAGATCCCCATAGCCGCCCCATAGCTCCCCATAGGTGCCCCACAGCCGCCCCACAGCCGCCCCATAGGTGCCCCATAGCCGCCCCATAGCTCCCCATAGGTGCCCCATAGGTGCCCCATAGCTCCCCATAGCTGCCCCATAGGTGCCCCATAGGTCCCCATAGGTCCCCATAGCTCCCCATAGGTGCCCCATAGGTCCCCATAGCTCCCCATAGCTGCCCCATAGGTGCCCCATAGGTGCCCCATAGCTCCCCATAGCTGCCCCATAGGTGCCCCATAGCTCCCCATAGCTGCCCCATAGGTGCCCCATAGGTGCCCCATAGCTCCCCATAGGTGCCCCACAGCCGCCCCACAGGTGCCCCATAGCTCCCCATAGCTGCCCCATAGGTGCCCCATAGGTGCCCCATAGCTCCCCATAGGTGCCCCACAGCCGCCCCACAGGTGCCCCATAGCTCCCCATAGCTCCCCATAGCTCCCCATAGGTGCCCCACAGCCGCCCCACAGGTGCCCCATAGCTCCCCATAGCTCCCCATAGGTGCCCCATAGGTGCCCCATAGGTGCCCCATAGCTCCCCATAGGTGCCCCACAGCCGCCCCACAGCTCCCCATAGGTGCCCCATAGCTCCCCATAGCTCCCCATAGCTCCCCATAGATCCCCATAGCTCCCCATAGGTGCCCCACAGCCGCCCCATAGCTCCCCATAGCTCCCCATAGCTCCCCATAGCTCCCCATAGGTGCCCCATAGGTGCCCCCCAGCCCCCGTACTGGGCGTTGAGCACGAGGCGGTCCCATTGGCCCTTGACGTCGTCGTCGGGGGGCTGCTCGCTGATGTAGAGCCCCGAGAACTCCAGGCCCCGGGCGAGCTCCTTCTCCCGCTTGAAGATCACCAGGGGGATCTGGGGGGCAGGGGGGCGATGGGGGGGATGGGGTCAATGGGGGCAATGGGGCAATGGGGGGCAATGGGGCAATGGGGGCATGGGGGTCAATGGGGGGCAATGGGGGGCAATGGGGCAATGGGGGCAATGGGGGGCAATGGGGCAATGGGGGCAATAGGGACATGGGGGTCAATGGGGGTCAATGGGGGGAATGGGGGTGATGGGGGGCAATGGGGGCAATGGGGCAATGGGGGTGATGGGGGGAATGGGGGGAATGGGGCAATGGGGGTCAATGGGACGCAATGGGGGCAATGGGGACAGTGGGGGGCAACGGGGGCAATGGGGTCAATGGGGCCAATGGGGGGCAATGGGGCAATGGGGGGCAATGGGGGCAATGGGGCAATGGGGGTCAATGGGGCTCAATGGGGCTCAATGGGGGGCAATGGGGATCAATGGGGGTCGATAGGGATCAATGGGGATCAATGGGGCTCAATGGGGTCAATGGGGCTCAATGGGGGTCAATGGGAATCAATGGGGCTCAATGGGGGTCAATGGGACACAATGGGGCTCAATGGGGTCAATGGGGGTCAATGGGGATCAATGGGGCTCAATGGGGGTCAATGGGACACAATGGGGCTCAATGGGGCTCAATGAGGCTCAATGGGGCTCAATGGGGGCGCAGCGGCCTCAATGTGACCCCCGGGGGGGGGGGGGTGGGGTCAGCGAGGTCAAGGGGCGGGTTTCTGCCCATATAAGGGCAAAAGGGGGCGTGTCACCTTGAGGCAGTTGTAGCCAATGATGCAGAGGAAGGCGACGAGCGTGTGCGCAAGCGCGAGCCCCCGAAGCGCGGGCTGCATGAAGCCGGTGCCCTCCTCCAGCACGTAGCGGGGGGGGAGGGGCTCCGCCCCGCCCCCCTCCCCCTCCCCCTCCCCCTCCCCCTCCTCAGGCCCGGGGGGGGGCTCCGACACCTGCGGGGGGAGGGGAGGGGGGGAAAGGGGATGTGGGGCTGCCCCATAGAGAGCCCCATAGAGAGCCCCATAGATGCCTTTCTATCCCCCCAGAACATGGGGATGTGGGGCTGCCCCATAGAGAGCCCCATAGAGAGCCCCATAGATGCCTTTCTATCACCCCAGAACATGGGGGTGTGGGGCTGCCCCATAGAGAGCCAACTATGGGGGTGTGGGGCTGCCCCATAGAGAGACAACTATGGGGATGTGGGGCTGCCCCATAGAGAGCCCCATAGACCCCCCATAGACCCCCAACAGAATCCTTTATATCCCCCCAGAAAATGGGGATGTGGGGCTGCCCCATAGAGAGACCCCTATGGGGATGTGGGGCTGCCCCACAGAGAGCCCCATAGACACACCCCCCCCCCAGACTCCTTTACATCCCCCCAGACCATGGGGATGTGGGGCTGCCCCATAGAGAGCACACAATAGGGGCCCAGGATGCCCCCACCCCACCCCCAAGCAATCTATGGGGCCCAGGGTGACCCCCCCCCCCCCCCAGTCTATGGGGCCCAGGGTTCCTCCATCCCACCCCAAACCCAATCTATGGGGCCCAGGGTGCTCCCACCCCACATGCAATCTATGGGGCCCAGATCCCCCCCAATCTATGGGGCACAGACCCTGTAGAAGAGGAGGATGAAGTTGATGGCGAAGGCGAGGAAGAGCGCCAGGAAGCGGAGGTTGTAGAAGTTGCGCGAGAGGTAATTCTGCCCCATAGAGAGTCCCGCTCAGCCCCACACTTATGGGTCCCAGCCCCACACTTGGGGGTCCCAGCCCCACACTTATGGGTCCCAGTCCCACACTTGGGGGTCCCAGTCCCACACTTGGGGGTCCCAGTCCCACACTTATGGGTCTCAGCCCCACACTTTGGGGGCCCAGTCCCATACTTGAGGGTCCCAACCCCACACTTGGGGGTCCCATTCCCACACTAGGAGGGCCCTGCCCCACACTTGTGGGTCCCAGCCCCACACTTGGGGGCCCAGACCCACACTTTGGGGGCCCAGTCCCATACTTGAGGGTCCCAACCCCACACTTGGGGGTCCCATTCCCACACTAGGAGGGCCCTGCCCCACACTTGGGGGTCCCAGCCCCACACTTGGGGGCCCAGACCCACATTTTGGGGGCCCAGTCCCATACTTGAGGGTCCCAACCCCACACTTGGGGGTCCCATTCCCACACTAGGAGGGCCCTGCCCCACACTTGTGGGTCCCAGCCCCACACTTGGGGGCCCAGACCCACACTTGTGGGTCCCGTACCAGGAACTTCACCCTCTGGACCTCGAGCTCGGCCCAGAGCTCGAAGGTTCCCTCGCTGGGGGGCTCCTTGCGCACCCTCGGCCCTGATTGGCTCCTCTTGGGGGGCGGGGCAGGATCGGGCCCCCCCTCGGCGCCCTCGGCTCCGCCCTTCTCCCCGTTCTCGGCGCTATGGGGCAGAGGGGGGGTGGTTAAAGGGGGGGGGAGGGGGGGATCTATGGGGTCAATGGGGCTGGGGATGGGAATGGGGTAGGGAGGTGCCCCATAGATTCAATGGGGCAACGGGCACCCAATGGGGTCAGGAGCACCCAATGGGGCCATGGGCACCCAATGGGGTCAGGGGCATCCAATGGGGTCAGGAGCACCCAATGGGGTCAGGAGCACCCAATGGACCCAAGGGCACCCAATGGGGCCAGGAGCACCCAATGGGGCCATGGGCATCCAATGGGGTCAGGGGCACCCAATGGGGTCAGGGGCACCCAATGGACCCAAGGGCACCCAATGGGGTCAGAGGCACCCAATGGGGTCAGGGGCACCCAATGGACCCAAGGGCACCCAATGGGGTCAGGGGCACCCAATGGACCCAAGGGCACCCAATGGACCCAAGGGCACCCATTGGACCCATGGGCACCCAATGGGGTCAGGAGCACCCATTGGACCCAAGGGCACCCAATGGGGTCAGGAGCACCCAATGGGGTCAGAGGCACCCAAGGGACCCAAGGGCACCCATTGGACCCAAGGGCACCCAATGGGGTCAGGAGCACCCAATGGGGTCAGGGGCACCCATTGGACCCAAGGGCACCCAATGGGGTCAGGGGCACCCAATGGGGTCAGGGGCACCCAATGGGGTCAGGGGCACCCAATGGACCCAAGGGCACCCAATGGGGTCAGAGGCACCCAATGGGGTCAGGGGCACCCAATGGACCCAAGGGCACCCAATGGGGTCAGGGGCACCCAATGGACCCAAGGGCACCCAATGGAGTCAGGGGCACCCAATGGACCCAAGGGCACCCAATGGACCCATGGGCACCCAATGGGGTCAGGAGCACCCATTGGACCCATGGGCACCCAATGGGGTCAGGAGCACCCATTGCACCCATGGGCACCCATTGGACCCCCATCCCCACCCCACTGAGCCCCACTGCTGCCCCTGCCCCACTCACTCGCCCTTCTCCTCCTCGGCCTCCTCCTTCTCCTCCTTCTGCTGCGGCTCCTCCACCTCCTCCTCCCCATCCTCCTGCGGCCCCACACGCGTCAGCCCCACAGCTCTGACCCATAGATCCCCCATAGCCCCAGCCCCATAGATCCCCCATAGCCCCAGCCCCATAGATCCCCCATAGACCCAGCCCCATAGATCCCCCATAGACCCAGCCCCATAGATCCCCCAAAGACCCAGCCCCATAGATCCCCCATAGCCCCAGCCCCATAGATCCCCCATAGACCCAGCCCCATAGATCCCCCATAGCCCCAGCCCCATAGATCCCCCATAGACCCAGCCCCATAGATCCCCCATAGCCCCAGCCCCATAGATCCCCCATAGACCCAGCCCCATAGATCCCCCATAGCCCCAGCCCCACAGCTCTGACCCATAGATCCCCCATAGACCCAGCCCCATAGATCCCCCATAGCCCCAGCCCCATAGATCCCCCATAGACCCAGCCCCATAGATCCCCCATAGCCCCAGCCCCACAGCTCTGACCCATAGATCCCCCATAGACCCAGCCCCATAGATCCCCCATAGCCCCAGCCCCATAGATCCCCCATAGCCCCAGCCCCATAGATCCCCCATAGACCCAGCCCCATAGATCCCCCATCGCCCCAGCCCCATAGATCCCCCATAGACCCAGCCCCATAGATCCCCCATCGCCCCAGCCCCACAGCTCTGACCCATAGATCCCCCATAGACCCAGCCCCATAGATCCCCCATAGACCCAGCCCCATAGATCCCCCATCGCCCCAGCCCCACAGCTCTGCCACATAGATTCCCCATAGACCCCAGAGCCCAGCCCCATAGGTACCCATAGCCCCAGCCCCATAGATCCCCCATAGACCCAGCCCCATAGATCCCCCATCCCCCCAGCCCCACGGCTCTGACCCATAGATCCCCAGAGACCCCAGAGCCCAGCCCCATAGATCCCCCATAGCCCCATCCCCATAGCCCCCCATAGCCCCATCCCCATAGACCCCTGTAGCCCCATCCCCATAGCCCCCTTAGCCCCCCCATAGCCCCCCATAGCCCCACCCCACAACCCCCATAGCCCCATCCCCATAGCCCCCCACAACCCCCATAGCCCCACCCCATAGCCCCACCCCACAACCCCCATAGCCCCATCCCCATAGCCCCCCACAACCCCCCATAGCCCCTCCCCATAGCCCCCCATAGCCCCATCCCACAACCCCCCATAGCCCCACCCCACAACCCCCCATAGCCCCACCCCACAACCCCCATAGCCCCATCCCCATAGTCCCCCACAACCCCCATAGCCCCACCCCATAGCCCCCCATAGCCCCACCCCACAACCCCCATAGCCCCACCCCACAACCCCCATAGCCCCACCCCACAACCCCCATAGCCCCACCCCATAGCCCCCCATAGCCCCACCCCACAACCCCCATAGCCCCACCCCATAGCCCCCCACAACCCCCCATAGCCCCCCCCATAGCCCCCCATAGCCCCACCCCACAACCCCCCATAGCCCCCCCCCATAGCCCCCCCCCAATCCCCATCGCCCCCCCCTTTGCCCCACACTTACCCCCCCCTTCCTGCGCGGCATGGGGCTGCCCTCTGGGGTGGGGGGCTCTGCTCCGGGGGGCTCCCCGATGTCCCCCAGCCCCCCAGCGGCCTCCAGCGCTGCCGCTCGCGGGTGCTCCTTGGGCCCCCCAAAAGGCATCGCCGGGGCCTTCCCGTCCCCTTCCTCCTCCTCCTCCTCCTCCTCCTTCACCTCCTGGCGCTGCTCCATGGGGCCGGGTTCTTGGGGGGCTCGCCCCACATCCTCCCCGCCCCCCCCTCCCCCGGCGCCCCCCACTGCGTCCTGCGTGGGGTCGGGCATGTCGGCCAGCACCTCGGCCAGCGCCAGGCGCTGCGCCCCTTCCACCAGCCCCCCACCGAAGAGCGAGACCCACAGCAGCCGCCCCACGGCTCCCATCGCCCCCCACGCCGCCCCCGCTGTGCCCATCGCCGCGCGTCCGGCCCCGCTCCCCACCGCCCGCAGCAGCTCCCTCCCCGGCCTCCTCTTCCACCTCCTCAACCGCCGCCGCCACGCGTCGGCCGAGCCGAAGACGCCGCTCAACCAACGATGGCCGACGGCGGCCGGCGTCGAGCGCGTCGCTTCGACGCCTTCCTCGCCCTCCTCTTCCTCGGCGGCGGCCGGGTCCTGGCGCGCCGCGGCGCCGCGCTCCTCGGAGAGCCGCGAGGCGATCTGCATCTCGAAGATGGTGTCCTCGCAGAAGCTCACGAAGAGCTCCATCTTCTCGGCCTCGCCGCCCTCGTTGACCACGTCGAAGATGAACTGCCGCTTGGACTCCTTGACCTGCGGCATCTCCCACTGCGCCTTGTTGGCGGCGCTGATCTCGAAGTAGAGGCGCTCGATGCGCCGCGCCGCCCCCATGATCTCGATGCGGCCCAAGAAGGGGCGGAAGTACTCCAAGATGCTGGAAGCTTGCTCCAGGAAGGTGCGCAGGCGTTGGTCGTGGGGCACGTGCTCGGCCAGGTTGGTGAGGAGCACGGCCACGTTGAAGCCGATGTCGCGCGCCGGCTCTTGGAAGCGCCCGGCGAAGGCGTCCACGTCGATCATCTCGTTCTCGTCGGCTTCGGAACACGAGAGCAGGAACTGGATCTCGGCGGCTTCGAACTGTTTCTGGTTGTCCATGGCCTTCTGGAAGTCCTTCTTGGAGATGAGGCCCCGCGGGTCGGTGACGGAGGCGCGGAAGGCGTCCGAGGCCACGATGTCGCGGAGCTTGAGGAACATGTCGAAGAACTTGAGGATCATGGTGACGTTGGCCGAGGACTCCACCAGCATGTCCACCATCTGCCGGGCGATGGTGCCGTTCACCACGTTGCCTATGGGGGGGACGGGACGGAGAGTGAGGGATCAATGGAGGAGGGCATGGGGGGGGTTGGGGGGCATTGGTTGAGAAGAGGAGGGAGGGGAGAGGATAAAGGGGAGGGGGCGGGGAGACCTTGGTGGGGCAAGGGGCACCTTGGGTGGTCAACGACAGCTTGGGTGGTCAATGAGACCTTGGGTGGTCAAGGGGCACCTTGGGTGGTCAATGACAGCTTGGGTGGTCAATGAGACCTTGGGTGGTCAAGGGGCACCTTGGGTGGTCAATGACAGCTTGGGTGGTCAATGAGACCTTGGGTGGTCAAGGGGCACCTTGGGTGGTCAACGACAGCTTGGGTGGTCAATGAGACCTTGGGTGGTCAAGGGGCACGTTGGGTGGTCAAGGGATCCCATAGGTGGTCAAGGGGCACCTTCGGTGGTCAAGGGGCACGTTGGGTGGTCAAGGGGCACCTTGGGTGGTCAATGACAGCTTGGGTGGTCAAGGGGCACGTTGGGTGGTCAAGGGGCATGCTGGGTGGTCAAGGGGCACATTGGGTGGTCAAGGGATCCCATAGGTGGTCAATGAGACCTTGGGTGGTCAAGGGGCACGTTGGGTGGTCAAGGGATCCCATAGGTGGTCAAGGGGCACCTTCGGTGGTCAATGACAGCTTGGGTGGTCAAGGGGCACGTTGGGTGGTCAAGGGGCACATTGGGTGGTCAATGACAGCTTGGGTGGTCAAGGGGCATGCTGGGTGGTCAAGGGGCACATTGGGTGGTCAAGGGATCCCATAGGTGGTCAATGAGACCTTGGGTGGTCAAGGGGCACCTTGGGTGGTCAACGACAGCTTGGGTGGTCAAGGGATCCCATAGGTGGTCAAGGGGCATGTTGGGTGGTCAAGGGGCACGTTGGGTGGTCAATGACGGCTTGGGTGGTCAAGGGGCATACTGGGTGGTCAAGGGGCACGTTGGGTGGTCAAGGGATCCCATAGGTGGCCAAGGGGCACCTTGGGTGGTCAACGACAGCTTGGGTGGTCAAGGGGCACGTTGGGTGGTCAACAACAGCTTGGGTGGTCAAGGGATCCCATAGGTGGTCAAGGGGCATGCTGGGTGGTCAAGGGGCACATTGGGTGGTCAAGGGATCCCATAGGTGGTCAAGGGGCACCTTGGGTGGTCAATGACAGCTTGGGTGGTCAAGGGGCACGTTGGGTGGTCAAGGGATCCCATAGGTGGTCAATGACACCTTGGGTGGTCAAGGGGCACGTTGGGTGGTCAAGGGATCCCATAGGTGGTCAAGGGGCACCTTGGGTGGTCAATGACAGCTTGGGTGGTCAAGGGATACCATAGGTGATCAATGACAGCTTGGGTGGTCAAGGGGCACGTTGGGTGGTCAATGAGACCTTGGGTGGTCAAGGGGCACGTTGGGTGGTCAAGGGATCCCATAGGTGGTCAAGGGATACCATAGGTGATCAATGACAGCTTGGGTGGTCAAGGGGCACGTTGGGTGGTCAATGAGACCTTGGGTGGTCAAGGGGCACGTTGGGTGGCCAATGACAGCTTGGGTGGTCAAGGGGCACCTTGGGTGGCCAATGACAGCTTGGGTGGTCAAGGGGCACCTTGGGTGGCCAATGACAGCTTGGGTGGTCAAGGGGCATACTGGGTGGTCAAGGGGCACGTTGGGTGGTCAAGGGATCCCATAGGTGGTCAATGAGACCTTGGGTGGTCAAGGGGCACCTTGGGTGGTCAATGACAGCTTGGGTGGTCAAGGGATCCCATAGGTGGTCAATGAGACCTTGGGTGGTCAAGGGGCACCTTGGGTGGTCAATGACACCTTGGGTGCTCAATGGACCCCTTGGGTACTCCATGACCCCTTGGGTGCTCCATGACCCCTTTGGGTGCCCCATGGGGCCTGCCCCCCCGCTATGGCTGATGGGAACGGGGTGCCCCCTGCCCATTGGCTGTTGGAGGGAGGGGGCGGAGCCATGGGCGCACCCTCCAGCAGGGACAGCAGCATCACCACCATGTCCTTCTGCAGGTCCAGCAGCTCCTTCAGCAGCTCGATCTGGCTGGAGTGCTGGGGGGCAATGGGGGGCAATGGGGGGCACCGTGAGTGCCATTGACCCCATTGAGCCCCATTGCCTCCATTGCCCCCCATTGACCCCCTTTGCCCCCATTGCCCCATAGCCCCCATTGCCCCCATTGCCCCCCATTGCCCCCCTTTGCCCCCATTGCCCCATTGCCCCCCATTCCCCCCATTGCCCCTCATGTCCCCATTGCCCCCATTGCCCCCCATTGCCCCATAGCCCCATTGCCCCAGAGCCCCCCATTGACCCCCATAGCCCCATTGCCCCCATAGCCCCCATATCCCCCCATTGCCCCATAGCCCCCCATAGGCCCCCATAGCCCCATTGCCCCCCATAGCCCCCCATAGCCCCATTGCCCCCCATTGCCCCATAGCCCCATAGCCCCATTGCTCCATAGCCCCATTGCCCCATAGCCCCCCATTGACCCCCATAGCCCCATTGCCCCCATAGCCCCCCATAGCCCCCCATAGCCCCATTGCCCCCCATTCCCCCCATAGCCCCCCATTGCCCCATAGCCCCCCATTGCCCCATAGCCCCATAGCCCTCATTGCCCCCATTGCCCCATAGCGCCCCATAGCCCCCCATAGCCCCCCCCAGCCCCATAGCCCCCCATAGCCCCCCCCAGCCCCATAGCCCCCCATAGCCCCATAGCCCCCCATAGCCCCCCCCAGCCCCATAGCCCCCCATAGCCCCATAGCCCCCCATAGCCCCATAGCCCCATAGCCCCCCATTGCCCCATTGCCCCCCATAGCCCCCCATAGCCCCATTGCCCCAGAGCCCCCCATTGACCCCCATAGCCCCATTGCCCCCATAGCCCCCATATCCCCCCATTGCCCCATAGCCCCCCATTGCCCCATAGCCCCATAGCCCCCCATTGACCCCCATAGCCCCATTGCCCCCATAGCCCCCCATAGCCCCCCATAGCCCCATTGCCCCCCATTCCCCCCATAGACCCCATTGCCCCATAGCCCCCCATTGCCCCATAGCCCCATTGCCCCCCATTGCCCCATAGCGCCCCATAGCCCCCATTGCCCCCATTGCCCCATAGCCCCCCATAGCCCCCATTGCCCCATAGCCCCATTGCCCCATTGCCCCATAGCCCCATAGCCCCCATTGCCCCCATTGCCCCATAGCCCCCCATAGCCCCCATTGCCCCATAGCCCCATTGCCCCATTGCCCCATAGCCCCATAGCCCCCATTGCCCCCATTGCCCCATAGCCCCCCATAGCCCCCCATAGCCCCATAGCCCCCATTGCCCCATAGCCCCATAGCCCCCATTGCCCCCCATTGCCCCATAGCCCCATTGCCCCCCATTCCCCCCATACCCCCCCATTGCCCCATAGCGCCCCATAGCCCCATAGCGCCCCATAGCCCCATAGCGCCCCATAGCCCCCCATAGCCCCATTGCCTCCATTGCCCCCCATAGCCCCCCATTGCCCCATAGCCCCATTGCCCCCATAGCCCCCCATAGCCCCATTGCCCCCCATTCCCCCCATAGCCCCATAGCCCCCCATAGCCCCCCATAGCCCCCCATAGCCCCGCTGCCACCTGGGCCAGTTTCTTCATCATGTGGGCGAAGACGTGGAGGAAGCCGATGACGGCGTCCCAGAGGCGGCTGTGGGCCAGGCTCTGCTGGTTCCCCGTGCACGGGCCCTGGGGGGCGGCCCGGGGGGCAATGGGGGTCAGGGGGGACATGGGGGGCAATGGGGACATGGGGGGCAATGGGGGGCAATGGGGACATGGGGGGCAATGGGGACATGGGGGGCAATGGGGACATGGGGGTCAGGGGGGACATGGGGGGCAATGGGGACATGGGGGGCAATGGGGGCATGGGGGGCAATGGGGACATGGGGGTCAGGGGGGACATGGGGGGCAATGGGGACATGGGGGGCAATGGGGGTCAGGGGGGACATGGGGGGCAATGGGGACATGGGGGGCTATGGGGACATGGGGGGCAATGGGGGGCAATGGGGACATGGGGGGCTATGGGGGCAATGGGGGGCAATGGGGGGCAATGGGGGCAATGGGGGGCAATGGGGGGCAATGGGGGCAATGGGGGGCAATGGGGACATGGGGGGCAATGGGGACATGGGGGGCAATGGGGGCCATGGGGGGCAATGGGGGTCAGGGGGGACATGGGGGGCAATGGGGACATGGGGGGCAATGGGGGACATGGGGGGCAATGGGGGTCAGGGGGGACATGGGGGGCAATGGGGACATGGGGGGCAGTGGGGACATGGGGGGCAGTGGGGGGCAATGGGGGGCAATGGGGGACATGGGGGTCAGTGGGGACATGGGGGGCAATGGGGGACATGGGGGTCAGTGGGGACATGGGGGTCAGTGGGGCCAATGGGGACATGGGGGTCAATGGGGCAATGGGGGTCAATGGGGGTCAATGGGGATCAATGGGGGTCAATGGGGGTCAATGGGGGTCAATGGGGGTCAATGGGGGTCAATGGGGCAATGGGGGTCAATGGGGGTCAATGGGGCAATGGGGGTCAATGGGGGTCAGTGGGGACATGGGGGACATCCCAGGGCCACCAAGGTCTTTGGGGACCCCTGGGGTCCATGGTATCTCTGGGTCCCATCGTGTCTATGGGTCAGTCTCTATGGGTCGCTATGGGTCGCGATGGGTCCCTATGTGTCCCTATGGGTCGCTGTGGGTCTCTATGGGTCCCTATGGGTCCCTATGGGTCGCTGTGGGTCTCTATGGGTCCCTATGGGTCCCTATGGGTCCCTATGGGTCTCTATGGGTCTCTATGGGTCCCTATGGGTCGCTGTGGGTCTCTATGGGTCCCTATGGGTCCCTATGGGTCCCTATGGGTCTCTATGGGTCCCTATGGGTCCCTATGGGTCTCTATGGGTCTCTATGGGTCCCTATGGGTCCCTATGTGTCTCTATGGGTCTCTATGGGTCCCTATGTGTCCCTATGGGTCCCTATGGGTCCCTATGGGTCTCTGTGGGTCTCTATGGGTCGCTGTGGGGCGCTGTGGGGCTCACCTGGATGTACTCGGTGAGGCTGTTGAAGACCTGCTTGGCCACGGCCATGGCCTTGGAGAAGTTCCGCTTCCCGTGCTCGTCGATGACCTCCTTGCCCGAGTAGTACCAATAGAAATCACTGATGGACTCCTGCCGGACCCAGCGGGCATCAGCGCCATGGGGCGCCATGGGGCGCTATGGGGCGCTATGGGGCGCTATGGGGTGCTATGGGGCGCTATGGGGTGCTATGGGGCGCTATGGGGTGCTATGGGGCGCTATGAGGCGCTATGGGGCGCTATGGGGCTCTATGGGGCGCTATGGGGCTCTATGGGGCTCTATGGGGCGCTATGGGGCACTATGGGGCACTATGGGGCGCTATGGGGCTCTATGGGGCACTATGGGGCACTATGGGGCGCTATGGGGCGCTATGGGGCTCTATGGGGCGCTATGGGGCGCTATGGGGCTCTATGGGGCGCTATGGGGCACTATGGGGCACTATGGGGCGCTATGGGGCTCTATGGGGCACTATGGGGCACTATGGGGCGCTATGGGGCACTATGGGGCGCTATGGGGCGCTATGGGTGCCATGCGTCTCTATGGGTGTCATCGGTCTCTATGGGTGCCATGCGTCTCTATGGGTGTCATCGGTCTCTATGGGTGCCATGGGTCTCTATGGGTGTCATCGGTCTCTATGGGTGCCATGGGTCTCTATGGGGCGCTATGGGGCGCTATGGGGCGCTATGGGGCGCTATGGGTGCCATGCGTCTCTATGGGTGCCATCGGTCTCTATGGGGCGCTATGGGGCGCTATGGGGCGCTATGGGGCACTATGGGTGCCATTTGTCTCTATGGGTGCCATGGGTCTCTATGGGGCGCTATGGGGCGCTATGGGGCTCTATGGGGCGCTATGGGGCGCTATGGGGCTCTATGGGGCGCTATGGGGCTCTATGGGTGCCATGCGTCTCTATGGGTGCCATGCGTCTCTATGGGTGCCATGGATCTCTATGGGGCGCTATGGGGCGCTATGGGGCGCTATAGGGCGCTATGGGGCTCTATGGGTGCCATGCGTCTCTATGGGTGCCATTCGTCTCTATGGGTGCCATGGGTCTCTATGGGGCGCTATGGGGCGCTATGGAGCTCTATGGGGCGCTATGGGGCTCTATGGGGCTCTATGGGTGCCATGCATCCCTATGGGTGTCATCGGTCTCTATGGGGCGCTATGGGGCGCTATGGGGTGCTATGGGGCGCTATGGGGCTCTATGGGGCTCTATGGGTGCCATGGGTCTCTATGGGGCGCTATGGGGCTCTATGGGTCTCTATGGGTGCCATGGGTCTCTATGGGTGCCATGCGTCTCTATGGGTGCCATGGGTCTCTATGGGGCGCTATGGGGCGCTATGGGGCACCATGGGGCACTATGGTCCCTATGGGTCTCTATGGGTTCCATGGGTCTCTATGGGTCTCTATGGGTTCCATGGGTCCCTATGGGTCCCTATGGGTCCCAATGGGTCCCTATGGTCCCTATGGGTCCCCGTGGGCCCCACGGCACCTGCAGGCGCAGCAGGTAGTCCACGGTGCAGATGATGATGTTGATGGTGGTCGTGTTCCCCGTCTGCGTCCGGAGGTAGTTCTGGAAGTCTGGGGGGCGGCGGGGTCAGCGCTGCCCCATAGCCCTGCCCCATAGCCCAGCCCCATAGCCCAGCCCCATAGCCCAGCCCCATAGCCCTGCCCCATAGCCCAGCCCCATAGCCCTGACCCATAGCCCAGCCCCACAGCCCAGCCCCATAACCCAGCCCCATAGCCCACCCCCATAGCCCTGCCCCATAGCCCTGCCCCACAGCCCAGCCCCATAGCCCACCCCCATAGCCCTGCCCCATAGCCCAGCCCCATAGCCCACCCCCATAGCCCAGCCCCATAGCCCAGCCCCATAACCCAGCCCCATAGCCCTGCCCCATAGCCCTGCCCCATAGCCCTGCCCCATAGCCCAGCCCCATAGCCCTGCCCCATAGCCCTGCCCCATAGCCCAGCCCCATAGCCCTGCCCCATAGCCCAGCCCCATAGCCCTGCCCCATAGCCCTGCCCCATAGCCCAGCCCCATAGCCCACCCCCATAGCCCAGCCCCATAACCCAGCCCCATAGCCCACCCCCATAGCCCAGCCCCATAGCCCACCCCCATAGCCCAGCCCCATAGCCCACCCCCATAGCCCAGCCACGTAGCCCTGCCCCATAGCCCAGCCCCATAGCCCACCCCCATAGCCCAGCCCCATAGCCCAGCCCCATAGCCCACCCCCATAGCCCAGCCACGTAGCCCTGCCCCATAGCCCACCCCCATAACCCAGCCCCATAGCCCAGCCCCATAGCCCTGCCCCATAGCCCTGCCCCATAGCCCACCCCCATAGCCCAGCCCCATAGCCCACCCCCATAGCCCTGCCCCATAGCCCAGCCCCATAGCCCACCCCCATAGCCCTGCCCCATAGCCCAGCCCCATAGCCCACCCCCATAGCCCAGCCCCATAACCCAGCCCCATAGCCCACCCCCATAGCCCAGCCCCATAACCCAGCCCCATAGCCCAGCCCCATAGCGCTGCCCCATAGCCCAGCCCCATAGCCCTGCCCCATAGCCCTGCCCCATAGCGCTGCCCCATAGCGCTGCCCCATAGCCCTGCCCCATAGCGCTGCCCCATAGCGCTGCCCCATAGCCCAGCCCCATAGCGCTGCCCCATAGCCCAGCCCCATAGCCCTGCCCCATAGCCCTGCCCCATAGCCCAGCCCCATAGCCCTGCCCCATAGCCCAGCCCCATAGCCCAGCCCCATAGCCCTGCCCCATAGCCCTGCCCCATAACCCAGCCCCATAGCCCTGCCCCATAACCCAGCCCCATAGCCCTGCCCCATAGCCCAGCCCCATAGCCCTGCCCCATAGCGGGAGCCCCTCACCGTTGTTGTGGCCCTCGCAGAGCAGCTGCAGCAGCCGGAAGAGGTCCTGGGTGAACTCATCATCGGCCATCACCTTCTCCCCTAGGGCGCCCCATAGAGACCGTGGGGAGGGGCCCCATAGAGACAATGGGGAGGGGACCCCATAGAGACAATGGGGACCCCATAGAGACAATGGGGAGGGGCCCCATAGAGACAATGGGGACCCATAGAGACAATGGGGAGGGGCCCCATAGAGACAATGGGGACCCATAGAGACAATGGGGACCCCATAGAGACAATGGGGACCCCATAGAGACCGTGGGGAGGGACCCCATAGAGACAATGGGGACCCATAGAGACAGTGGGGACCCATAGAGACAATGGGGACCCCATAGAGACAATGGGGAGGGGCCCCATAGAGACAATGGGGAGGGGACCCCATAGAGACAATGGGGACCCCATAGAGTGACATTGGGGACCCCATAGGAGACAATGGGGACCCCATAGGGTGACATTGGGGACCCCATAGAGACAGTGGGGAGGGGACACCATAGAGACAATGGGGACCCCATAGAGTGACATTGGGGACCCCATAGGAGACAATGGGGACCCCATAGGGTGACATTGGGGACCCCATAGAGACAGTGGGGAGGGGACCCCATAGAGACAATGGGGACCCATAGAGACCGTGGGGACCCCATAGGAGACAATGGGGACCCCATAGGGTGACATTGGGGACCCCATAGGGTGCAGGTGTTAGCTTGGGGGGAGAGGCAGCAGGACCAGGGGGGCACAAGCAGGACCAGGCAATGGGGGGACAGCCAGGGACACCCCATAGACACTGTGGGGCCCCCCTATAGCCCCTATAGCCCCCTAGAGATGCCATAACCCCTGTAGCCCCTATAGGCCCCATAGCCCCTATAGCCCCCTATAGCCCCTATCCCCCTATAGCCCCCATAGTCCCTATAGCCCCTATAGCCCCTATACCGCCCATATCCCCCTATAAACCCTGTAGCCCCTATAGCCCCCACAGCCCCCATAGTCCCTATAGCCCCCATAGTCCCTATAGCCCCTATACCCCCCATATCCCCCTATAGCCCCTACAGCCCCTATAGACCCCATATCCCCCTATAGCCCCTACAGCCCCCATAGCCCCCTATAGCCCCCATAGCCCCCATACGCCCATACCCCCCATAGCCCCTATAGCCCCCATAGCCCCCATACCCCCCATAGCCCCCTATACCCCCCATTGCCCCATAGCCCCCCATAGCCCCTATACCCCCATAGCCCCCATACTCCCCATACTCCCTATATCCCACTATACCCCCCATAGCCCCATACCCCCATAGCCCCCTATATCCCCCATAGCCCCCCATAGCCCCATACCCCCCATAGCCCCATAGCCCCATAGCCCCCTATATCCCCCCATAGCCCCCCATAGCCCCATAGCCCCATAGCCCCCCATACCCCCCATAGCCCCATAGCCCCCTATACCCCCCATAGCCCCATAGCCCCCCATAGCCCCATAGCCCAGGGATGGTATTTACCATTGTCTCTGCTGACTGCACCAGGAGCCAGGGTGGGAAGAGAAGGGAGAGAGGAGGTGAGCGGGGGGGATCAGTGGGGCTGGGGGGGATCAGTGGGGTGGGGGGGATCAATGGGGTGGGGGGGATCAATGGGGTGGGGGGGATCAGGAGGGTGGGGGGGATCAGTGGGGCTGGGGGGGATCAGTGGGGCTGGGGGGGATCAGTGGGGTGGGGGGGATCAGTGGGGTTTGGGGGTCAATGGGGTGGGGGGGATCAGTGGGGTTTGGGGGTCAATGGGGTGGGGGGGATCAGTGGGGCTGGGGGGGGATCAATGGGGTGGGAGGGATCAGTGGGGTTGGGGGGGATCAGTGGGGTTGGGGGGAATCAGTGGGGCTGGGGGGGATCAGTGGGGTGGGGGGGGAATCAGTGGGGCTGGGGGGGATCAATGGGGTGGGGGGGATCAGTGGGGCTGGGGGGATCAATGGGGTGGGGGGGATCAGTGGGGTGGGGATCAATGGGGTTGAGGGGGATCAGTGGGGCTGGGGGGGATCAATGGGGTTTGGGGGTCAATGGGGTGGGGGGGATCAGTGGGGCTGGGGGGATCAGTGGGGTGGGGGGGATCAGTGGGGGTGGGGGGGATCAGTGGGGTGGGGGGGGATCAGTGGGGCTGGGGGGGATCAATGGGGTGGGGGGGATCAGTGGGGTTGGGGGGGATCAATGGGGTGGGGGGGATCAGTGGGGCTGGGGGGAATCAGTGGGGCTGGGGGGGATCAGTGGGGTTGGGGGGGATCAATGGGGTGGGGGGGGATCAGTGGGGTGGGGGGGATCAATGGGGTGGGGGGGGATCAGTGGGGCTGGGGTCATTCACAGCAGGGGTGGGGGGGATCAGTGGGGGCTGGGGGGGATCAATGGGGTGGGGGGGATCAATGGGGTGGGGTTCAATGGGGTTGAGGGGGATCAATGGGGTGGGGGGGATCAGTGGGGTGGGGATCAATGGGGCTGGGGGGGATCAGTGGGGCTGGGGTCATTCACAGCAGGGGTGGGTTGGGGGGCAGCAGCGTAGCGATGGGGACCCCCAGTTCCACCCCTTGGCCCCCTGGGTCCCATAGGGAGCTGTGGGGTGTGGGGGTCTCATGGGTGCTGTGGGTGCTGTGGGTGCTGTGGGTGCTGTGTGTTCTATGGGTGCTGTGTGTTCTATGGGTGCTATGGGTGCTGTGGGTGCTGTGGGTGCTGTGGGTGCTATGGGTGCTGTGTGTTCTATGGGTGCTGTGTGTTCTATGGGTGCTATGGGTGCTGTGTGTTCTATGGGTGCTGTGGGTGCTATGGGTGCTATGGGTGCTATGGGTGCTGTGTGTTCTATGGGTGCTATGGGTGCTGTGTGTTCTATGGGTGCTATGGGTGCTGTGGGTGCTATGGGTGCTATGGGTGCTATGGGTGCTATGGGTGCTATGGGTGCTGTGTGTTCTATGGGTGCTGTGGGTGCTGTGTGTTCTATGGGTGCTATGGGTGCTGTGTGTTCTATGGGTGCTGTTCTGTGTTCTATGGGTGCTATGGGTGCTATGGGTGCTGTGTGTTCTATGGTTGCTATGGGTGCTATGGGTGCTGTGTGTTCTATGGGTGCTATGGGTGCTATGGGTGCTATGGGTGCTATGGGTGCTGTGTGTTCTATGGGTGCTGTGTGTTCTATGGGTGCTATGGGTGCTATGGGTGCTGTGTGTTCTATGCGTGCTATGGGTGCTATGGGTGCTATGGGTGCTGTGTGTTCTATGGGTGCTATGGGTGCTATGTGTTCTATGGGTGCTGTGTGTTCTATGGGTCCTATGGGTGCTATGGGTGCTATGGGTGCTGTGTGTTCTATGGGTGCTGTGTGTTCTATGGGTGCTATGGGTGCTATGGGTGCTATGGGTGCTATGGGTGCTATGGGTGCTATGGGTGCTGTGTGTTCTATGGGTGCTATGGATGCTATGGGTGCTGTGTGTTCTATGGGTGCTATGGGTGCTATGGGTGCTATGGGTGCTATGGGTGCTATGGGTGCTATGGA